TGGAACTTGCGCTTATTGGAATTCAGAGCGTAGACCTTTGAAAGTGTGACCTGTCACAGACATGCAGCACTCACTTGGTGACGCGCACTTTCCTAGTGACGGAGGGAACACCTAGCTCGCATGAGGGTAGGTCACGCTAAGTCAGGCTGCAACTTGCACAATCCAGCGCGTGTGTGACGGTCTCCTGAGTGGTGCTAGATGTTTGAACACCCTTGTCCAGCTGAACGCCTTTATTTCAAGGACTCTACAAAAAGAAACCGCGTGTTTGTTGAGATGCCGCCTCCACTTGTCAGGGTGCTTGTCCCTTCGCCAAGCCTAAAGCCAAGGCAAGGCGACTGATTGAACGTGGAGTGGAATCATGAACGAAGTATGACTACTGGGCAGCCAGAATTGACTAGCACATGATGATCCCACATTTTTCTTTGCGTTTTGGTTTTGGTTTGTATTGTATTGTAGCTAGCCCTTGTTCATCTCATCTTCATGTTTTTACATTTTTTCCACGCCTTCCAGAGCTGGACCTACCCAAGTGACATTGTCTCTATTCCAGCTGCCTGCACCCTGCCACGATCGCTTGTGTGAGGCCAAAGATGGCGGAAAAAAACAGAAGGCCTTGGGCCTTGATTTGTCGTTTGAGGGTCATGCACGCCTTTGGTAGAGGAACTTGCAATATGCAATATGTATATTTGTGCAGCCCACCTTCTGCTTTGGTGCGAGGATTCTAAGTGACTTACATAGTGGTTGCAGGTCCAAGGTCCAGGCTGATGTGCCTGCCCTGTAGCTGTGGAAGACAGTTTGTCATCATTTTAGTCAGTACTTCACCATCACCGATACAGGGGCGAGGCAGGGCCCCCAATTTCCTCTGGAGCGCTTGCCAAGAGGCGGCCAGTAATTGGGCGGATGGGGCGGATGGGCTGAACGACCTGCTTTTGCCATCTTGACGATTGATGTTAGTTTGTTCCACAGCCCCGCTTCCAGGCCAGTGTGAAGTTGGACTTCAAATGGAAGCAGGCCACTGAATCACGGGGTCCAGGGTCAGTCCAATCGACTGTCAAGTCTGTTAAGACCCCGAAGAGTCTTGTTCCTTTGGATGATCGATGATACTGATACTTGAATGGCTAGCATGGACCCTGCAGATTCGGCAATTCTTTCTCTAGAGCAGCTCCCTCAGCATGAAGTGATCCCTTGGACATGTTTTTTTTTTTTAATGAATTTCGTGCTTCAGGACCCCACACACACACACCCACACGCGCAATCTTTCTGTCTTCTCTCTTGAAAGGGTTTCTTCTGGCCTGGAGTGTTGGGAATTCCAAAAAGCATGACTCAAACCATGACATGGTTTTCATAGATCCTTGGAGGACCTCCGGAACAGGAATCCCAACCCGGCCAGGATGAAAGCATGGTGGTGATCAAGGTTTGCCCTGGGCTCAGAAGATGAAGAGCGTTTGTGTGTCTTTTAGGGTCTCTCCTATTTGAACTTTTGGTACAGTAAGCCTGCGAAGCAGCGTCACAATAAGCTGGGGGTCAGTCTCACATTAAGCCTGCAAAGCAGCCTATGCCTCATAACGTGGATCATCGCTGTTGCGGCTGTTGCGCCTGTACCAGTTCCAGCAACAAAGGTGCTCACCACACGGATGCCTTCACCACCATGGAGCTTCCCAACAGCGCTTCCCAGGAGGTGGGGAGCGCTTCCCAGGAGGTGGGGAGCGCTTCCCAGGTGTTTGGAGGTCTCAAGAAGTCTCATCACAGGATTTGGACACAGGCATTGATCCTTCTTCGTTTTCATTGACGGTCCAGCCGCAAGCAACGACTCAATATGTCTCCTGGCCAGGAGATCAAAAAGCAGTACAAGGCGCTGTCATTGATACACCATCCCGCGGGATGCCCAGATGTTTCTCGAATTGTCACCATCAAACATTGTTTGGACCAGTGCTGTGCGGTGAGTCCCGGTGGGTCTAGTTCCATTCATACCAGTTTCGTGAGCAGACATGACGAAGTCGTGAGTCACATAGACGACCTTGTTGGTTGGGACGCAGGAGGTATTGTAGCCCCGTGCAGTGCTGAGTCTGTAAATGTGTGGGGGCACGTTTGGATGAACTTACGACAGAGGACAAGAACCAAGATGATGTGGAGGCTGCCACTGAGCGCTTTCAAAGGACCAAAGATGTCCTGTGCTGGGGAGCTGGTCTTGGAGGTGGGGGATTCTTGTTGAGGCCCACAAATCTAGGGAAGTGTAACGGATTCAAAAAGGGTTCCCTGCGCGGAACCTTAAGAACAGCTGGCGGCTGGGAAGGTAATGCGGGCGCGACGAAGGGTGGAACCATACCAACTTGCTGCCGAATCCTATCTTTGGATCATGTTTGGCTTCCTTTCCTTCCTTGTCATCAGGCATTCTCGTTCTATCTTTCTCTTTGCATATATACACCTTATTGCGACTCAAACAGCTGATCTGGCTTTGCAGGATCAAAGACGCTTACGCTTTGATCAAGGACACAGACGGCGAGCTGGCCTTTCCCTGGGATCAGCACCCTGAGAAGCAACAGGCACGTAATTGGGACTCAGTTCACCTCAGTGATTCGCTGGAGGCACACAAGGGCTCCGAAGGCCCATTTTTTGGCCCGCTCCTACTTAATTACTGTAAGTAGGCCAAGTAGGCTGCCTACTTAATTAAGTAAGAGAGAAGTAAGCTACTCGTACTAGGAGAAGTTCCCTCCCACATATGGACGCACGCTTCTGCAATTCAAGGCAGCTCCTACCGCCTGAGGGCGGGGAGGGAGCTTCCTTGAAGAAGCGCTCGCACTAATGATTGAGATCCTAGATTTTGAGGGGAACTTGGTGTTTGTGAGGAATCTTTGATATTCTTTGACTGGTCGGATGGCGTCGGAAAAAGAGTGTCTTCGTCATCTCAGAAGGGTCCGTTCATGTCGCACCTGATGTCGAAGGTGATGAAAGGGGATGAGGCAGTGGCTGTCTTTGCGGAGGCGAGGCATCTCCTCAGGCTGTTGAGGCTTCAAGGTGCTCCTCTATAGTCTATACTTATGTGTCTTCGTTCTGAAGATTGAAGTGGAATTGGGTGTTTGCTGCTTGTTAGTACACTCCTGAGGGAAGAGCAACTACCTTTCAATGCTTATGCTCTGTCCAAGGGATATTGCATGGTGCTGTCGTGAAATAGTTGGTCGACAAGAGTGAAGATGAAGACCTGCTGTCGGGTTGAACCAGCATGATATAGTCATCGGCTCATCTGCCAAATCTCCCACCAGGGTCAAGGTGCTGTGACGGAGACGGACGCCTGATGAAAGAGGTTGAGACACGTTGAGACGATCTTCCTAAGCTCAGCCACCTTGAGTACTGGTCAGGTCGGACTGGAAGCCTGCGAGGAACACCATTTCCAGGCCAGAGATCTTTGTGGTTCGAGGCGACTAGGTTTGTTGGAGCTGTCTCTCGCTCTCTCTCTCTCACTCTTTGTCTTTGGCTCTGTCTTTAGCTGTCTTTGTCAGGGTGTCTTTTGGACTCGCCATGAATTGACCATAGTAGCAGGCTTCCCAAGTTGATCAGTCTGAGATCCAATCATGGACTTCCAGGGGCTCCAGCTTCGACACTTGGTGAAGTCCTCTGAAGAGGTCAAGGCGGGGTGGCCGAAACAGACTGCATGGGTGGGGCACATGGGCGGTTTGGTCTTGGTCTTGGTTTGGTCTGGTTGGAGTGTCTCAATGAGCCACGTGATGCAAAAGACTTGATCAAGCCTCCCATCGGCACTCCGCTTGATGTATCATGACACCAGGAGTATGGCGGTAGACCATGCCCTCAACCACTTTGCTTGTAGGAGAACTGCAGTATTCTCAAGCTGCAAGCTGATGGCAGGTCTTGAAATTCGACAAAGAATCGGAGGGTGGGCACATTACCGAGTGCTGGCTGGATGCTATTTGCCTGAGACCTAGCTGACCCGCAGTTTCTCTCTTCTTCTTTGTCGGTGCAAGGATTTTCTTATGATTTGTAACGTGCAGGATTTAGGATTGGGACACTGAGAGAGGTCCTGCTAGTTCTCGAAATCAACACCCTGTGATTTCCAAGGTGCAGGCTCTCCCCATTTCGTAAGCCACTTGGTGAAGGCTGGCACGAATTGGTCATCTACTTTAATCGTTTTGGATGTACTTTCCTGGTTATGGCTGGGGATCCCTACGTCTCAGCGTCCCTAAGATCAACATACCTGTGTTTCTGTGTGTGAAGCTCCTCAGGTGTACCGTCGTGCAGGGACTCTCAGATATTCTCTTTGTTGACGTTATCTTTCGGCACATCTCCATGTGGCCAACTAGCCCAAAAAGATTATCAAGCTGAAACGCGCTTTTTGTGGAGTGGGATTGTACTGCTCCATTGGTCGCCATGTCAATGTAAATGCACCAGATAGAAAAGCGCCTTCGCTGGCACCGTTGGGCCGTTTTCGTTGGTCTCGCAGATGTCGTCCAGCAGACGCTAAGGACGCTTGGGAATACCATGATGCGAAGTGAAGATGGCGTAGGGCTGGGCCTTCTTGGACTGTAGATCTCTTGAGTCCATATTCTAGCTGATTGCCTTGAACACACCTACCTAATGCCAGCACAAGCTCAAGGGAGGGCTTGGCCCTGGACTCCGCTTTGTACATAGTCATCAGTCCACTGAGTGGTTTGCAGGAACGGGAAGGATGATTGTAAAGCTTTGGGTGAGTATCCCATTCTTACCAATCCCTGTTCGGGAGAACAATGTTTGATCCAACCAGCTTCCTTCGTCAAACTCCTGTGAACCACCAGGCGGATCTGGTGATTTTCGCAAAGTTTGCACTGCAAACACAGCTGAAAAGGTGGATGACTCTACACCCACTGTTCCCCACAACTGGCGGCTTGTTGGTTGCCCTGACTTGATATGTAGAGAGGAAGTGATAAGCAGTGAAAAAGCACCAAGAAGATCGATACATATTGATACTTCCTTTTCCTTGCACACCATAACACACCTTCCTGGTGTCCATCCAGGCAAGTGGGTGGACGTGAAGCCAGCGACGCCAGCTTCCACGCTCGAGGAGTGGGATTTGCCAGCCTGGCCCAACTTGGGAGGCCTTTGCGATAGGCAAACCCAACCTGTCGTGATCTCGCCACGTCTGACACATGGGTAGGAGATGGCGGCGTGCTTTCTGGAGACTTCCGCACAGAGTAGCGGAACCGTGGGCGCAACGAGTTCCGGCAGCCGGAACCGCCAAGCCGCGGAGAGGCGGTGGGGGAGTTGGGACGCGGTGGGATGCGTCGGGGTACGTTTTTTGTGAGGTCGGTCAAAAGACAAGCTCGGCTCAATCCATGGATTCCCGGTGTGAAGGTGTGCCAGGCAAAGGCAACATAAAGGAGGCAATGTCGGGGTTTGGTGGGCAGGGCAGAGTTTAGTGAAGGATTTTCTAGAGCTCGGGGCCCCATGGGCCATCCATTATTTTTTGTCCAGAAGAGAGAGGCTGGACATCACCGAGTTTTCGCTGGTCAAGAAGCGGCCAGGGTGCTGGTAGGACTTGAAGGTCTGTGGGCGATTTTGTTTGTTTGTTTGTTTGTTTGTTACAGTAAGCAAAAAGGACAAACCAGAAGCGCACTTGAACAACCTGTGAAGACACTGGTCGCATTGAGAATGGCCTGCTGGTCTTTCACACAGAAGGCCTTCTAAATTCCTACCACCAAATGAGCCAATGTTTCTTGGATTGTTTTGGTAGCCTGGTAGTCTGGTAGCCTCCATTTTGATCATATTTCGGTGAGGATCAAGAATTGCTCCCCACTGGGACTGTTGGGAAGACTCACAAAAACTGTTTTTGAGCGTCATCTTCAGGTGGACGGCCTATCATCCTTCTGCTGCCAGTTCCAACCCAAGCTCTTTGCGAACCGGGCCAAGTGTCATCCTGTCATATCCTGGAGCAGTTGTAGAGATATAAAGTAGAGGCTCAAAACATCACGGTCAGTGTAATTATTGTTTTTGCTCTGCTCAGTTACTTCAAGAGTAAGTGAGTCACATCGGCAAACAAGGACACACTCTGTCTGTGTGTCAACTTCTTTTGTGAGTAAGACTTGTCCCTCTTTGCTGGATGAAAGATGTAAACACCCGTGTGTCCTGCCCATTGTCAAGGTGTGGGCCAGAAAGGGCACCACACTCAGGAAGATGAGAAGTGCCACCAGAAAGATAGTGTGTTGCCAGTCCGCCTTGGGTGGGGGTTGAGTCCTTGATTCTACATGCCGATGAACAGGACAGCCAGCATCAGCAACGCCTGGATCCACTCATGTCAATATTCTTTGGATCTGGATGCCTAGGCACCCTGCCGAGGGTCTAGCACAGGCCTGGCGGGAGTGCCCTCGAAGTGCTGTGAGGCAATCATAGTTCGGTCCCTCTACATAATCCCTCGTTTCATCTCGTTTCTCCGTCTTGGGACTCCAAAAGGCTTCATAGGTTTCCATATGGAGTTGCTCATGGATAAGTGCCTTATGAGGTGACCTTTACCATCTCCAAAGACTTCTTCACTGGTTACTACCATCGCCAGACCATCGTTTGATTTGCTGAGCCACTTAGATGGCTTGAGCTGGACAGTCCGTTAATTGCGGACGAAGCGACCTTCTTAATTCACCCAGTTTGCCGGGAGGATCTGGCTGACCCGTGGCCACACGCCATGGACGTGGCAGGTGCATCAGGGCGTTTATTGATTTGCGATCGGGTTGGCCAAACCAAGCAAGGCTTCATGCCGTCTTTGAGAACCCACAAGTCAAACTTTGAGGCTCTCTCCAGTCTTTGAGGGGAGGCCATTGCTTGTAGGTTGGAGGCCATTGCTAGTAAGGTGGAGATCATCGCTATTAGGTTGGAGGCCATCGTCTCCAGTCCTTGAGGGAGGTCGCCCCGTTCTGGTACTTCTTCTTGTGAAGGACATGATGTTATCCACCACGTAGCAATGCAGAATGTACTTAAAAGTGTATCAACTTGGAGCGGGGCCATTACTGTCAACCATGCGTTTCACAACAGTAGTAAGGCCAGGAGCCCCTAGTAGCGTCCTTGCTCCTAGTAGCGATGCCAGGAGCCCCTAGTAGCGTCCTTGCTCCTAGGAGGTCTTTGGAACCACGGGTCATGTTGGTGGAAATCCTTTCCAGACGGAGGCCCTGCCCCCTTTGCTGGCGACCTGCAATGGGTAATGCTGGGCCTCCTCAGTTGATCGTGGATTTGTCATCGTGCAGGACATGTTTATTTGCTTTGACCGTTTGTCGCTTCATAAAGCCTCATGTTTACCTGCATTGCACTTCTGTTCTTGGGGAACGGGTGCAGCTAGCCATCAGATGCTCTCAATTTCAGTGGACCTTGAAAGTCCAGTTTCTATCAGAAGCTCTGGTCAGCACAGGACTCTGGCTCAAAGACTTAGTCACTTAGTCATGGTCACGGGAGCTGGGATAAATGAACTGGACACAGCGATGTGCACCATTTGTTTCTGCCATAGTTGCTGTTTGACAGAAATGTCGCGGACATCCCGGGGTGAGAAAAGACTTTCAAAGATTGTTGAACCTACCATAGGCCATTGAGGACAATAATCATCCAAGGATTCCCATCTCCTGAACAAAAAGATTCCCCCCAAAATAGATAGAACCGTACATCATTGGAATCCATTTCTATTTAGTTGAGAGCCTCTATACACGGACCCAAGCCCAAACCCTCTGCATCCCAAAGCCGAATCACCCGACTGTCAAGGCCGCAGCTTCCGACGATTTTGGCCGGGACCACACAGTGGAGGGTCTTTCTGCGGCTCGAGTGGCCAGTTCGAGTGCCATAGTCTTTGACAAAACTTTCTCCATCCCAATCCACTTCAAGTCCACAGAAAAGCCGAAAAGCCAAGCCACGCTTCCAATGGTCGAGTCTTGTAATCACATTGAGCCCTCTTGTGCTGTGCCGATTCACACTGAGGCTGGGGTGCCAAGTCCGGAGCTTGGCGCAGAACCAGATTTTACGACCCGGAACAGCTGCGAGCAGTGAAGAAGTTCACGGCACTTTTCATGGAAAAAGCCCCCCCAGCATATTGGATACAGCATATTGAATGGATTCTGACCTCCTTGACCTCCTTTCCTTGTCTCCTTTTTGCAGACTGAACTTGGGGAGATTAGTTGTGATCAGTGACGTCGAAGATAGCGCGGGCGGCCAGGTGCGAGCATCATGGATCTATATGAGCCACGGTCAAGACATGCGAAGACCACTTTAGTAAAGAGGGGTAGGTTTGTGCACAAAACCCTGCAAAACGATAAGGTCCACCTCAAAACCGATAACCCCAGCGCTGTATATGGTCATAAGTATGCGACTAAAACGATAAGGTCCACCTCAAAACCGATGACGTCCATTTTTTAGCTGAAGAAGAATAAGGAGTTTTGACCGTCCCTCATATAGATGAACCTAAGATGATGAACAGTCCCAGCTTAAGAGGGTCTCCTGTGTTCGAAGTTTCTGGTGAATGAATTTGCTGAATGATGGATGGATGTGCCTTTGACTCTTTGACTCAAAGTACACGAGTTCCAGAGCGGCCTCTGGTCCCGGCAGACAGACGCACCGTGGGACATGCTGGACACTGTAAGAGTTGTGCGCAATGTTTTAAAATCGAAGCCAGGTGCCCCTCCATCGAATCTTGCTCGACATGTGAAGGTGTTTTGTACTGTAGCTTGTGACTGTTGCCGCTTGCGACTTTTGGGCGGAAGGGTGTTGAACTACCTTCATACAGCTGGATAAACTGTCTCACCTGCACACATGTCCGATCATTGCAACTTAGTGGTGCCCCATGTTCTAGGTTCTGGTCTGTCATGCGAAGCCTGAAAGTAAGGCTTTCAAAAGGAATACATCTCAAAACACAAGAGAAGACAGAAAGGAAGGTGCTTGAGCCCCGCTGGGAAGGCACCTGAGTTTTGCAATTGTGTTATATAATTTGCGAATCCCTGTTGTTTTCCCAGAGCCTCAAACCTTTCTACTTGCCCAGGACCCTCAGTGCTGGGGAAAGGTATGCCTGTGGGGTTGCTCGGATCGTGCGACAATCTGGCTCACAGACCAGGATGGGGACGCCAACAAGATTGGGACCTTGCAAGTGAATGAATCCTTTTCCCATCAGCAAAGTTAGTTCAAACTTCCTCTACTTACTCTTGTCGACGTCCCACAAGTGCCGATCCCACGAGTGCCCAACTGGGAGGTTTTCACACCTGCTGAGGCGAGAGCCCCCAACTGGCCACTCCAAGGTGGGAGTTTCGTGCATCTCGTGGACTCGGCTTTTCGGTCTGAACCACGGTGAAGGACGTTTTTTAAAGGCCGCTCTGCCGCCCAACCTACTCCAACCTAGTGGCGATGGCCTCGGGTTCCTCGGTTTTCCTTAGAAGTTCTTTCACCAGAAGGCACAACATATCCCCGGGTAGCTCAAGGTTAGCTGAGTCCATTGGGGTGCTCCCCGATCAATTAGGACAGCGGAATGTACAAGCTGTATCAAGCTGTGATGTAGGAGGTGGGTGGAGGCACTTGCAGCAGTTGCATCAAGACAAGAAGATATGGAGTGATCCACCTGCGGCACCGGGCAAGCTGCGGGAACAGATCTATGAGAATCCACAGGTAGAGGTGCCACGCTAGTAGAAACAAGTGCCACGCTAGTAGTAACAAGTGCCTTACTAGTAGTAACAAGGACGCTAGTAGAAACAAGGTCCACCTAGATATTCCGTCGCACAGGCCACCTCTCATCGCCTATGAAGGTCACATGCCGCGGCGTGGAGGTGGGTGGAGCTGAAAAGCCGTGTGGAACAGTTGGCGTCGCTCCGTTCGTAGCGATGCCAGGAGCCCCTAGTAGCTTCTTGCTCCTAGTAGTAAGGCCAGGAGCCCCTCTTAGCGTCCTTGAATAGTGAGGGCCAGGTAGGAGTGGAGCTGGCATGAGATATTGGACACAAAAATCACCAGACTGAAACCCTACAACCACCTCCTTGTCGGGTGCTTCAACACCTTTAGCCTACCGTAGGGCAACCTAGATTTGAAACTACATTCAGCCCTGCACTTTCCGCCCCCACTCTCGTGTTAGGACGACCCAAAGCATGAGTTTTGTCCAACTCCTGTGGACACTCGAAGAGGATTTTGCTGTTTGGTCTCAGGAGGTTTGCTCAGCCGGACTTCGAGGGCAGGCGGGTTCTCGGAAGCCGGGTTGAGCTCTGCAGGTCAGAAGATCACCTTGTGTACCTGCCAAACACACATTTTCAGCAGATCATCCCACATCCCAGACCCAGAAAGGGCCTGAACGTAGGTAACCTTGGATCCCTTCCAAGGCTGCAGTCTGCCAAAGGGACCCTAGAAGAGGTCATTCCTGCGAACGTATTGTAGTTGATACTTGACTTGGCCACTGCAAGTTCAGAAGAAAGCTCAGAAGAATCTTCATTCCATGTCTCCAGTACCTTCGCAAGCACTTCAAGAGGGTTTTGATGATTCGCTGAAAGCGGACTGGTTGCGCTCCAGTTGCTAGGTTTGATGGCTCTCCCTGCCCATAGTGGATGTCTAGGCCCTGAGGAAGGGGATAGGGTTGATGGAAGGTTGCAGATGGCAGCCAATGATGTTGCCCTACAGTACCAATTCGAGAGAGATCATCTCCGCACTCTCACCACCCTTTGTGAAGCCAATGATAGCCAATGTACGTATCATACGAGGTATATATCATACGAGGATATACGAGGTATATGTTACATATGTAAGCTGTAAGCATGACACAGATTCTATAAAGCAGCAACTCTTGCACCTCTTGTACATTAGCTGATTTTTCTTCATGCCTGCAAGCGCTGAGGCTATCCACTCTTGCCAATGCTCATTTAGCTGCACAGGCGTAGACCAAGTCAGGACCTCAGACACGGAGGTAGGGGCAACCCATCATCTGCAGACTTCTGGGTGAATCTCAGATTTGCAACATTGTTTTGTTGGAATCCCATGCCTGGGTTGTGGCACCTAGTCCCTTTGCCACTCAAAGCACTTTGACCAATCTGCATCTTTGGAAGATCACTCAGCAAGGTCGTGGCCTTGCTCAAAATCTCATGAACATTTTTGTATGCCGCAAAAGGCTCTCGGCATGGGAGAGCACACTCTCCAAGTTCACTGTGGTCCACTCTTGCCAGGAGAGTGAATGGGAATGGCTAGCCAGAGTTAATTGTCCAATAGTAATTTGTAAGTTGCCTGACACTGCCACGGAGTGAGCATTCCCCCATGCTTTTGCCTCATTGTGCAGTGCATCTTGAGTAGCAGCTCTGTAAGAAAGTGGCGACCAAGCCCCATCTCTTGTGGAGTCGTACTGAGTTTGGTGGTCCTGGTTCCCGTCTCAAACCGTGGCTCAACCACAAGTCATGCCGATCCCAGGCCGCTGGCCTTTCCGGCCCTGGATATCTCCACGATTCTGTGCGCCGTACAGGGGTTGGAAACAGGGGTTGGAGGACCTGGGATGAATATGTAGAAGACCAACTGGGAGCTCTGACCTGGGAAGTTCATTGCAGATACCAGTAGTAATCCGATTATATAGTTCAATGCAACGAGCAACTCTAGTCAGTTCATAGATCCTGGAATGCTCTCTGAGACAAGTGGGAACCGTAGTGATTAGATTTGAACCAAAACACTAATCACTGCTGTCTCATGCCTAGATCTGAAAGATTGGTTTGATGGCCGGATTTTCAAATGGAGCAACCTTTGGCCATGAATTCCCAGAGCGAGATTTTCCCTTTCCTCCGTGGCCATGCGGAGGGTTGGTCTCGAATCCAGAGCTCCATGGCCGGGGACAGGCGCGCCATGTGCCACGTGGAAGAGTGGTGGATGCATTACCTCCCCAAATGACCAGTTTTTGGAGGACGGAGTACTCACAGGCTAAGGCGGCCAAGAGATTGATAAATCAATTTTTCTGAGGGACCGTGTAACAAGCGGCATCGTCAGCATAACTAATCATAGTTAGGAGCACACAGGCTAGGTGCGTCCCCCACGCACTCGTACTTCTAGACATGTTAGTGGCATGAGTCCCTTTGCGAATGTAATGGACCACATTTGGAGCAGTTGCAAGGACACTTGGTAGGAACACTCGTGGCATCCTTGCAGGCGATAAGAAAAGAGCGGCTGGTGAACACATCGCACGGTGCATCTGAGTAATTCGATTTAATTAAGGTAGGAACTGTCTTGCTGAGACCAGAAGAAGGGTTTCATTGAGTTCCCATTTGTTAGTTCCATGGATTGGATTTTGATCCCCTGAACGTTCAGGACACACAGGTGCTGTGCGATTTTAATCATTTGAGATTTCAATGTAGGGATTGTGGATGATTGTGGATGACATCTTGGTTTTCCCATGCTCTTTAGTTCAGCGCTTTCTTCAGCAGGGCAGTAGCACTAGTGGCTTTTGCAGGTCTTAGTGTGAACATAGCAATTGCACTTCTAGCCAAGTGTGAGTTCTGAGTGATTGCAGTCATGCGGCATGCATCCTCTTATAGATTTGATCCCGCTTCGCAGCAGACAGCCGTTCTGGAAGGACTGATAGAAAGGACCTGGTGTACATCCCTCGGGTGGCTTAGAAGGATAATTCTCACTTGGAAGCAAGTTCGTAGTTGGTTCTCATGGACTATGTGTGGATTTATTGTTACAGTTTTTTTGGTTGAACTTGGTATTGTATCCTGCTGATAGTTAGCTGCTAACAGTTAGCCACAGTTCGTCGTTGGGAAGATCACTCTGAAGGACATTTTGCCGCCCAGTAGTTTTAAACATTTTTTTTTGATTTCTGTCGAGTCGCAGTTGCTTTCTACTGGCTGCATAGCCTTTTCCTGCTTGAACGACTCTTCAACACCATGATGCATCTCCAAAGCGCAGGTCTGTACTTTTGATTGGACTGTCATGCTTGAAGGGGGTTTGGCTGCGATGGGGCCTGTGTGGAAGGCTTTTGACAGCAGCACATCCCAGATGGCCGAGATGACCCAGTCCTTGCACCACCAAACCACCTAGGGCAAGCCATCTAGGATGTATCTCTTAATTCGTCGGAGGATATGCTAATGATGGCCCATGTGAAAAAGAGTGCGGAGTGAGGGAACAGAAAGCGGAGAAAGCACTGCCACCTGGTGCCACTCGCAGTGTCACTGGTCTCCTTCACTCCATTGCCGCCATTGGAACTGTCTTGCGGACACCATTTGAACTGCTCGAGCCAAATTCTTCAGCTGTCAAGCCCTAACTCAAGAGCCACGCTGTTTCTGAGGGTTGTTCACTTGGTCAACGCCATCTATCCCGGCATCCATGACAATGCCATGACGGGTCGATCTCAGGTAACTGCAAAACAGTACTCGTAGCTGCCAGCTACTGAGCCAGCATGAGCCACTGATGAGTGCAAACCATTCCTTCTGTAAGTGTACTACGCAGATGCCTTAGCAATACTTGGCAAAGATCTGAGTCACCTGAGCAGATCTCGAAGTCACCTGAGTCCTTTACATTCCTTTGGAACATATTGGAACTCCGCCGGTGTCGGCCCTGTTTGTCTCGCGCCTCGGCACGCCATGATCGCCTAATGGCGAACCCATTCGCTGAGGACGAGCGGTTTTGGTGTCGACGTTTTCGTGCGGGGCCATGCAAGCCGTAATCCGTGTTCTAGGCATGTGGTGAAAAGTGGAACAGCATTGAAAGGCTATTTGCCATTTGGTTATGATTCCGATTTGTTTGCAATGATGAATATCCTGCAATCCCAAGCGCAATCGTCGGGGATGAGTTCAAATGACTCAAACGGATCAGTTCGCAGGGTCAGATGACAGACTTTTTTTTTCAAGAATGTCCACAAGGATGTTAAGTTTGTGAGAGATTCAACTGTTATTCCTAGCGGTCGAACAGGAAGGTAACGATTGCAGAGCCTTGCGGAACGACATGTCAGACTACGTATGTCCGACAGAGATGCTGGTGCTGGACCAAACCAGTAAGCGTCACGGTGTTTGGCTGATAGATGGTTTTATTTGGATTGCTCTAATTTCTTTCCACAAGCTTTGGAATGCCTGCTTGTTTGCAAGAAGCACAGAGGCTGAGTTGAGGGAAGGAGGACTTTGTTTGGAATGAAGAGCCGCAAGTGTTTTTTGCTGTTGCTTCTTTTGCCGGTGAGGAGGCTTGTGGTTTGTGGTGAATTGTAGTGATGTCTGTAGGCGATGTGCGGTGATGAGGTGGTGGTTTGATTAATCCATTTGTTGGGCTGTGCTGGTTTGAGCGTGGTGACACTCAATGATTTTTAATGATTTTGACCATGCGGGTGATTTGCTTTGGCTTTGATTTGACGTCATTTTTTCGTGGTGATTTGTAGACCCTGCCAGATGCGAAAAGGCAACTTCAAAGTGAACATTTCGATACGTTTCGATATTCGAGTTGTGATCCACTCAGTCTGCAAACTACCTGTTTTCTTTTTTCTTCCCATCTTATTTTCTTGATTTCCTTGGCTTCTTGGTGTTTCCATCCTCTCATCCAGGAGGAAGCGTCAGTTGCTGATGCTGCGCCTTCCAACCCCTTTGCACAAGAGGAGGATCCAGGGCAGAAGAAACAAGTGAGCTGGTGCGAACCGGGTTCAAAGACAACTTTCCTCCAGATTTTGGGAGATTGTTTATATATTTCCCTTTTGTGAGGGCATTTGCAGATTTTGCAACCCGCTGCCCCTCACAACACCGCCAACTGGGCTTCCATTTGTCGACTGATAGGCCCAGGAATATAGGTAGAAAGAACTCAACTACTGGAACCTGAACCATCAGGGGTGCAGTTCTCGATGATGCAGAACCAGAGTAAGTGAAACGCCCGTGGTTTGCCAAAAGACATATATCCAAAAGAAGACTAGCTTGGCCTCGGAAAGTGTTGGCGGCCATGCCTTTCTTGCGCAGAAAGTTGGCTTTTGACCATGCCACATTTGTTATTATGTCACTTTCCAAATGACTTCGTAGCAGGAGCCCGCACCAGAGTCTGGTGCAAATCCCTTCGAGGATCAGGACGAGCCCGAAGCTGCTGCGGATTCAGAAGCCGTGGATCCAGAAGCTGCTGGAAAGGTAGAGGAGGCTCGCGCATGAGATGTAGAGGAGAATCACGTACTTTCAACATTTTGTCCTTTTGCACATCGTCGTTGTACCAATTTCTTGAGCAGTTATATATTGTGTGGAGACCTACACGCACAATTATCATCAATTATCCCAGCAGCGCTGAACAGACGTGGGAGGCTCTTCGACACAAAAGATGTGACCTTACAGGATAAATCCATTTGCAAGTGAACTCAGGTATTCATCATAGTCACACAGTTTGCAGTGTTTTGAATTCTGCTGTTCCAATTCTGGATTCCTTTTTGGTGGCAAATTCAGAGAACCCAAATGAAATCTTGGATGTTAGATGAACCAGGCCCCAGGTGACAGGCTATTGATGCGAAGAACTATTCTTTGGCCCTTCACGCAGGGAGCTGCCCACTCTGAAGACGATAACCCCGCAAACCCTCCATCAATGAGCGCATGACGTAGTCAGGAACTCGGTCAGGAAAACCAATCAAATCAAACAATTCAATCAACCAGCAATACCTACATCAAGCAAAGCCAAGTCAGACGAGCAAGACCGCCAATCTGTACAAGACCTCTCCTCCAGCGTCCATAAAGATGATCAGTCAATTAACCACTCAACCAAGAGGGTTTCACACTATCTAGAGGGTCTTCTAACCACGACTGCCAAATATTGATAACGATAAGGATGATTTGACTTTGACTAGAAACAAGTGCCTTACTAGTAATAACAAGAAGCTATTAGAGTGGCATCACGACAAGCGTGTAGATGCACATCCTACTGTTTGGGTTGCTATGAGAGGAGGCTACAGCAATTGTCAAGACGGTGAGCGGATATTCGGTGGAGACACAGCAGGCCAGGCGGCTTAGTTAAGTCAAAGTGATTTTGTATATTTTTGGTGCTTTCATTGTGACAAAATACTGTACCGATAATACTTCCATCGCAGTCGCCATTGCATCACTGGTATCACAATCCACAGTATATCAGTACAGTATATCTACTGTATATAAGTATACTCTTCCGGGTTGATATCGGACAGTTCATCTAAGAATCTAATATCCTACACACCTTACAGATGAAATCTTTTTTAGCAGAGAAGAACCTCATCCACCCTGCCTTGGGAGGCAATCTTAGTGAGTCAATAGAGAGTACATTGACCTCTGAAGGGGGGCATCCAGCAGGACCGCCGCTTCCAAAACGCGGACGTTTGCGCGGTGTGCAGCGCAGCACTGGGAAAGCGCTGGATGCGGCCCAGACATCACTGCCGCGTGTGGGGTGGCCGACTACTGTACCAATTGAAACGAACTCTTCATGGTGGTGATCTCCTAGTCGACCCCCAAACTGCAGGGAACGGCTTGGAAGGGTCTGCTGCTTTTACCGTGTTATCATTCAGCGTCGGATGTGGTTTTAGCATGTTTTAGCTGTTCAAATGTTTGTTTGCTTTTTGTGACCCAAGATGGGAGCGATTGGGGTCCGACTTGGTGGGCAGATCGCGAAAAGCAGTTGATTGTGAGGTAGAATATATCACTATTGACCCAACTGATGTATGCTGCCTCGATTTTCTTTGATTTATTGTGTACTTTCCCAAGTGAAGGGAAGTGAGCAATTCCTGCAGTGCTTCTAGTCATGAAGTCTCTCACCTGACAGGTGCAGCCAAAGTGTTTGCGCCTCATGCTCACCCAGCACCATACAGTTGATGAGTGCCTTGTAGTGAAAGTTGGTGGGGAGTTTCCGAAATGCTACAGCAGGGGCATGACTTGGCCATGCCAAGCGTTTGACCGCAAGCATTTTTGAGAGTCTTCGGGTCGTGGATCCATTCCGGTGGAATCGATTTGATCACAAAGTAAGAGCATGAACACGCTTCGAACACAGGCAGTGTGGCACATTTTAGAACCCAACCATGTGGCAATGTGGCATTTGGGGTACACCACGTGATCCGAGGCGAAGGTCTTCAGAGGACTTGCAAAACATGCATCGAGCAGATGCTGGAGATGACAGAGCTGAAGGTGCGGAAACCTGCAGATAGGTGGCACAGCTCCTCCGCATAGGTGGCACAAAAGATGCGAGATTGGCCAAGATTCGATGCACCTTGGCACTTCCTCCAAGCTCCTCTGAATTTGCTGACGTGTTGCACCCAATAAACTGGCAGGTTTGTTTGTCTTCCATAAAGAAGGCTTCCAACTGGATCTTTCAGTGTATGCAATATCATGGTATATCAAACCTTCTGTCCAGCTGATATACGGACATTGGGTTTCCACGACACTCATGCCCTTCTACCACTCGTTATGTTGGCATCCAATACTACTGTATCCCATCATTCTCCGTTTCATAAATATTGTGTTGTTTTCATGCGATCTTCAGCAGGAAGATCTTAACATATTTTCTGATATTCATATCTACCTAATATAGAGCTAGCAACTCTCCTTTTTGCCCTATCAGTGTGCACTGTTTGAGTGGAAAACTATCCCCCCGAAAGCATGCACTGCAAACACACTTCAGCAGAGCTGCTCGCGTGCACCGCCAGGCACAGTTGGCGAGACTGGCCGAGGATCTCAGCAGCATGACCCGTGGTGAAAACCCAGGTGCTTGGTTAGACATGTGGCGTCCGACGGTGTGGGGGCGCTGGTGCAAGGCGGCCACACCCTTTCGATAGGAACACGGACTTTGCTGCTTCTGGGAAGCACTCACTTTCGGCAACTGCAACTGAGGATGGTAGCCTGATACTATGCCACTTTGCTAACTACTTCACCTGCATACTGCCCAAGACCATCCCATTTTGGGGGCCAATCTCATCCGAAAAGCGCAAGCGATGCCACTTCAGAGCGACCGAGCGACCAGCGCTCCTTGTTGAAGGTGAACTGACCCTGTGAGCTTCATACCGGTGCAAGAGCAACAGCTGCATGCTGCAAGTGTCACCCTTTGATACCGGTTCTTGGTTTGTCGCAAGCGTCCGCTGAGCTTTCCCGCTCTCGTTTGGTCAAAGGACAGTTGTTCCAGGACTCCCTTCAGCCCAACCATCTCCCAGGCGACGAGGGAGGCCGCGCTTTGATGGCTACTTGTGAGGAGGCGGTGTCACAGCTGCTGGATCTGCAAGCCGGGCATCAAGCAGCCTCTACCCAGGTGGGAACTTATGAAGTGCAGTCCATATTGAGAGGTGTTGCTAGGTGTCTCGATTTCTTATTGCGAGCTTCTAGCCTATCAGACAGTGTGAGAATGCATCATACTATATACAGTGGTTTCAGAGCAGATGGCACAACCCCCAAGATGTCTTTTATATAGGTGTCCATCTAAACCACCTTTTGGGGATTGTGCCATCTACTCTGAAACTACAGAGATACCATGGGTGTTTATTATTGTTTATTGTGTTGACCTGTTCTGAAAACGGGTCATCGACCTCTGAATATCCACGGTTCATGCTCCAGGTGGAGGTCTTGAAGCAGCAACTCCAAGAGGTGCGAGAGGCTCAAAGCAGCGCTCTTCAGGCGACCGCCGGCGACCGCCGCGTCCGGTGGGTCGTCGGGCCGCCACGGTGCTCGCCTGAGACTAGGGCACCGGTCAGCAGTGGCCACCGGTCAGCAAGATGTGCCTCAGGAGACTGAGTTCGGCCACCCTGTCGAACTCTTTACGGGTGAACGCATCCAACGCACGTCTGCCAGGTAAAAATTACGACCGGTATCCGTACCCTAGGTCAACCTCAAATTTCTGATGATCAGTGATGGGTGTCACGGTGTGGTGCTGAAGAGGAGAGCCAGATCCGTCGCTGAGTCGGCGGCAGCCTGCCAGGCCGCCGAGGCCCGGTGCACCGAGGAGGCCGCACAGCGCCTGGCAGCCGAGGCGGCGGCGGAGGCAGCGGCGGCCGAGCGGCATGAGATGGAGGTGGAATGGGTCCGGATGTGGAAATTAGTGGATGGGATAGAGGATTGAGGTAAGTGGTAGGTAATGAGTGGCAGTGGGTGGTAGGTGGTGGGGGCTGTCATTTGATTCGCTTCTTTGGTCTCATATGGTCAGTCACTGGTCAGGGGGGGGGTGAGCTGGGAATTCCTCACATCAAGGCGAAGCTGCACGAGGAAGAGAAGAAGCGGAAGGCTGCAGAGGCCGAGGCACAGTCCTTCTCGGTGGACCTTCAAGAATTGGAGGCGGGTGACTTTGGTGGATGTGCCTAAGGATGTGCCATAGGATATCCCCTGGCTCTTATGAGGAATAACTCACTCAGCTTTGAGATATGTCTTTTCATAGAAGGACCTGCTGAGTTTGTGGATGGTTTCGCACTGTCTGAAAGCTGCAATGAGATTACAAGGCAAGGTCTTAGAACCGGTTGAAGTCTGTGTGTCACCAAAGACCAGAATGGGGAGGTGAAGTACAGTACATTTTTCTTATGTTTCTTGTTTGCATCAAAGATCCTTGCAGGTCGTATCCATCGTCGCCGTCCTAATCCTGGCAAGTAGGTAGGACCACTGACAGCTTCTTGGTGTGAACTACACATCATCAAGCCCCAAAACACTTCGCAGACATCAGACATCCCATCCCTCAAATAAAGATCCTATTAAACGGGTACAAGAGTTACAAGAGCCATTGACTTGAAGCAGGCAGCCTCAAATCAAGGCTGGTGGCATTTCCAACATGTACAACATGTACGCCAGCCTTAAAACAAACCCACAGACAAGGACGCTACTAGTAGCTCCTGGCCTTACTACTAGCAACAAGAAGCTACTAGTAACAAAGGGCATCACTACTAGGAGCAAGGACAATACTAGGGGCGCTCCTTGCTCCCTAAAACCACATGAAGCCTCCGAAACCCAGCTTCGTCCGACCGGTCACCGGGCACTCATTCCAGCCGGTTACCCAGGCGGAGACCCTGCGGCTCCGGGAGCTCCAGGAGAAAGCGGCCTCGGAGCGGATGGCCTTGGAGGTGAGGATGTGGAAACGTCTCAGATGTGGCGAGCAGGTGTGTTCTTTGTGTCCTTTCCTCTCTGTCTAGTGACTAGTTAGTGAGTTTAGTGTTTGGCCCTTCAGAAGGGTTGATTTAGACGATATCTATCTCTATCTCTATCTCTATCTCTATCTCTACCTCTACCTCTACCTCTACCGCTACCTCTACCTCTACCTCTACCTCTACCTCTATCTATCTATCTATCTATCTATCCAAATAGACTATTAGAGACTTGTTTGCTTTGTTGGGAGATGCTGGGTGGGGGGTCTTCCCAGGTGCATTGGAAGTATGAGTCTGCAGTGCGGACTATCTTAGGGGCATGGAATCATGATCATGGGAGTGTTTGGTGGCTTAAGGATTGCAATCCTGACTCCTGGCACAACTGGCACATGCCACCCTTCCAAGTTGCACAGGTGCGACTCTCTGAGAGCCTGCCCCGGCATTTGGCTGGAACATCGACGCCCTCCTCACACTCTGCTTGAAGCCTAAGTACAGTCTGCCCTGACAACTCTTTGTGGGCAGCCGGGCCTGATAGTGTTTTCTCCATTGCAGGGTGGGCCAATGCTGCATATTGTTTCATCTCTTGACCCCCCCTTGCGGAGAATCCTCACCAAGGTGGCAGAACATCTCGTACAGACTGATCCTCCACAGCCTGACCGAAGATGTTCAGAGAACTGCAAGAACTCTTGCTCCATTGCTTGAGCACTCATCAAAAAGATCCAACCACTGGCCATCTGAAAGTGACCGTTGTGATTCAGTTGTGATGCACAACATGCGAGTTTGATTCCAAGCAAAACGAGGACGCGGAACATGTGAGGACATGATGTCGGGCTGCAGCAAGAGTTTTATGTTAAACTGCAACCTTGGTTTGAAGTTCAGGTGGTTTAGGATGAGTTTGTGGTCATGTGAGCAGACTTGCGCTGTTCCTACCCTAGTTCTCTTGGAAATTGGGCTAGGCAGGATTCTGCGCCCTTTTGAAGAACAGTTGGCGTTGGCGCTATACAAACCATTCTACTTTTGCCAAGTGGAGAGTTTGACCTTTGCAATCATTTTCGATGTTAGATCTTCTTTGTACCCAGCAGCACTTATACCGCACCGACATGCAAGGTATACGAGTCAATCAGTAATTGAAGAGATTTGCGACCATGCTAGCTTTGTTGCATGTTACGTTTAGAGCTTCGGGCTTCACTCTGGGGCTTTAGGTGGGTGCGGTTTTGCTTGTTTTTGCACTCCACTGTCCAGCGCAGTGTTCTGAGCCGAAGCATGAGTCAAGTAAGCCAAGTAAGGTACACAGTCAACAGGAAAAGCTGAAGTTTAGCAGAAGCAAAACACAGACAGATTGCACAACAAATCACAACTCAAAGCTGATTTAATTGGCAAGAAACTTCAAAGCGTCAGAACTTACTGGCATTTTTAAGTCGCAGTCACCCCGGGGGGCACCATGAATGGGCTCGGGGGCACAGGTGCCCAGCAGTCGAAGGCCTTGTTTCAGTGCATCAGCTGTGAGTCTAAGCCCTTTGAGACACTTGTGATTCGTTCGCATCAGTGGCACAACATGACATACTAGGACATACCAGCATATCCCACGATGTTGAAGCACCTTTGAACTGCAAAAGCACCAGAGGAAGGCAAAAGGTTTGATTTGGAGCACACAATGCTCTTCGTGGGCACTGTCAAGTCATCTCCCCTATCGACAGATTTTTGGTGCAAAGCAAACGTGCAGGACTGTTCCTTCGCTGCTGGATCTGTGGCTGGCGCACCATTGCGCGTGAGTTGGTGCCAGCCCCAGGTGGCACCAGGACACTTCATGTGCCATCGGTGCCATCGGGTCAAGGCAGAGCTGCAAACAGCTTTTACTGTGCTGACTGTGCTGGCAGGTTTCTGGTGATCCTTTTTCTCTCCCAACTTGTGGACGCTATCAACGAGCATCAGCTGCCGTTGTGGGTCGGGGTCTAAGGCGTTGCTCAGCGCAAGTCAGGCGGAGCGGAAAAGGTGCATCATCCTCACGGAAAAGGGGCTTTTGCCCTTTGGGATCGTGCTGCTCTTGAGGCTAACGGTTAAAATCGTTCCTGGTCGAAGTACAAGAGTCAAGCTTTTTGATGGCCCTTGCCAGGTCCGCATCACCCAAGTCACGGTCAATGAGCTCCTCCTCCTTTTCACAGTGCTGTGCCATGAGATGGGCCAGATACTTGAGATGACTATGCTTGGATGGGCATCATCAGGGTTCAGAGAAAAGACCCAGATTGCTGGGGTTCTGAGGACAACACCTCCCAAACAGTTGGGACTGCATGGGATTGCATCAAGTTCTCTTAGGTCATCACTGTGATCCAGAGCTCACGACCTTGTCGTCCATCAAGTCTGAGCTACACCATGTCTAGATCATTGTCACCAGAAGGTTACCGCCATCATACATACAACACTCACCATGCATCAGTGCAGTTTGCTCAACCACCTTGGGCCATTTTGGATTGTCCTACCCAGGCCATGGAACCATGGCGCGCCGGTGTGGCGGCACCATTGCGGAGGTGGAATTTAGTACGTCCCTGTTCTTAGTAGTAAGGCCACCCTTAGTACCGTCCTTGCTCCTAGTAGCGATGCCCCCTTTGCTCCTAGTAGCGTCCTTGCTCCTGGGGGTTGCTACATGTTGCTATTGTTTTTCTGCTTTGGGCCCTCTGGGCTACAAACTGTCTTGAAATGAGGGTCCCACTCGTCTCGTGGAGTTTTAGCCAGTTCCCTTTCACTATGTTTCTGATCAATATTTTCCAGGCAACCCTGATTTCAAGACACACATGTGCACACATCCCGATGCTATTAGCTACAATGTCTTTTGGTAGCTTTCATGGTTGGAGTTGCAATTGCTTTTGAAGGAGTTTGACTCGACGCTATTGTCAGTCGAACTCAACGGCTTGGTGTCGTCTCACCTCCTTGTTGATCGTGCCACAGAAGTTCACGTGTGTGGGAAGAGACCTAGTCTCGAATAGTCTCCATGTCCATTCATTCCTGGTGGCTCCTCGAGGTGTTGCTGTGGCCCTTCGGTGGCATTTGCTTTACAACCCGTGGCCCAACACAAGATCCAAAACAAAGCCTCACCAATGAGCTGTACATCGTGGCCGCAGCCGGACTGCCCAGTGCCAGAGAACACGCTTCTGACGGGCGCTTCTGACTGGCGCTTCTGACTTTGGTCAGATGGGTTGAGTTAAGTATCTTTCGTGTCTGAGATTGTTAAACATATACCAAATACTACTAAACATATATATAGTGAAACTCTGGGAAGAAGATACTGACGGTTGGGACAAGGTTCACCCAAGGCCCAAGGCTATTCGAGGAATCAAACATGTTTCGAGACGCTCGGTGATATTGGAATGGCGGGGATCACGGGGTTGCTACATCGACTCTTACTATTCTGACTTTGACTTGACACCTGCATTCAGCAACTGCATCTATGAGCGTGGCCTCCCGTTCAACACTGACCCCAATCCCCAGCTGCGGATGTCCATTGGTGCTCCGAACTGGTTCTTGTAGTAAACGTCCTCACTCCTCGCACGTTGAACAGCCGAGCAGCTCTTCCTTCTTGAGGGCCCTGCCACTCACTTCCCGATGTCATTCGCCTGGGTCGTCCTCCTGGCCTGGGTCGCCCAGTATCAAGCAGCCAGACTCAAAACTCAACAGAGTGCCTCGCTTTGTGATACACACACACACGGTATTTTTGCTACAGCCTTTGGGATGTTACCTTGAAGTGCAAGTTTTTTGTTTACCTTGACCTTTGCTTGAACGTTAATATACTTCAGAGATTTTGTTTGTGCTGGAGATTTGTAGAACTTTAGTTTATTTGCCTCTTGAGCTATTCAGATGATTTCACTTTTTACACTGTGGCTTTTCGTCAAAACAGTCGCTCAGCGTGCCCTCATTGGCCTTTGAGGGAGCTTATGGAGCCGCAGTTAGTCATGTCGTGAGACCTTCCTCCTACCTGTACCTAGGCGGGGCACTGGGGCATTCCGCACACAGTTGGATCCATGTGAGATGCTTCACACACACACACATGGACCATGGAACAGACATGGTCGAGATCTGGAATCGTTTGGCATCGACAATGTTTCTGTGTCAGTTCTCGATGGTGCAAAGAGTAGGTGTTAACTATGCAGATTTCCCTTTGCAATACTTTACAATCTGTTAGAAGCACCTGGTACGGGTGGGCCACTTGCGTGCTCAGAGTAGGTCTACAAATGAGACCTCGTCTTGGACGAGTGTGCGAGCTCGTCAAGTCGGACTTGTTTGTTTATGTTAGGATTCCAAAAAACTATCACAATCACATTAATTGAGTTTTCTTTCTTGTTTTGGACCTTTCTTTTTTGCTTCCTTTCTCTCAAGTAAGAGTTAAGAATTTGAGCTTGGCCTGCTGTTCCATGTTGTTCCCGTGTTTGAAGGGCTTTGAACAAAATCAGCTCGCAAAGGCATCTTGATGTTTTCTCCCCAACATCATGGCTCCTCAGCACGTCCTGTCCCAGTCCCATTTGGCTCCCCACCGCCGCCATGCTTCAACCCTGGCTGGGAGGGGTCCGGTGACCCAAGAGCCGGCAGAGGGGCGTTGCTGAATTCTGGTGATATGGATATATGATGATATGTAATATGATGATATATGCAAAAATACCAATAGTGTCGATTTCTGGGTGTTTCTGCCGACTTGAAGTGAACTTGCTAAATCGGTGAGAAGTCTGGAAAGGACGAATTCTGGCAAACCGTGTTCACACCGTACAGGGGATTTCAGGGCTTCATCGGAAAGTGTCCTCAAATCTAAAATGCGACAAATTGTTGAGATGGTTTAGGCGGCAATTGACACTTAAGTGGGTACATAGATATGGACGGAGGAACATCCGCAGCAGTGCTGGTCAAGCTCGAGAAGCCGGCACACATATCCTGAACAAGGTTCTGTAGTGTCAGTGAGACAGAGGAACAGACGCCGTACCCGACCCTGCGGCCGAATTGATGCTGGGAGAAGAAGAGCTGATTTGCACTGGCTGTGGAGCCTTGGCGATTGAAGATTGTGAATGCCTGAAAGTGACAGATGTGTGCTGGGTAGAGACCCATTCCATCCCATTCCCATCATGCCAATGCACTGCTCGGACTTGCTGTAACCACTTTGGTATACTTTGGTTACACACACAGAGACATCAGAGAACCCAGATGATTTGTACACATTAAGAGTCTATATGACTTTCATGTTTCCACCTTCGTCGGCCAAGAATGGATTTGGCCCGAGCTCTTGGCCCGGGGACCGCTCTCGCGCTTTCGTTCTTGGATCGTGCCGCCATAGACTTCGCTCCTCCTGTGCCCTACTGCATGGGTTCCTACTGGTCTTTGGATCCCTTGGCTCTGGGTGTTTTGATTGGGGTGGTGCTATTCCCACTGTTGGAACTGCTAGTAGCTTGCAGGATTTGCCTACATCAGGCTCTGCTCCGCCGGCTGTCTCCGGCTCCTCGCTCTAGGCCGCTTTACAGGGTCCTGGATCATTGAATGCCCCCCAAGGTGTTGACTGACGCACAGTTGAGGGACGAGCTAGATCTTGTGAGGGGAGAGGTGGCAGGATTGCAGCAACTGCTTAGAGGGGTTCGTAGTGAAGTCAGAGAGCTTCGACAGCTGGTGCATCAAGGGTTGGACCAATCGAGATCGGCAGCTCTCCGGTCCGCTTACGCTCGTGTCGGAGATTGTCGATTCAGAGGCACCTCATATCTCAGCTGAAAGGCCAAAGCCGTTGACAGCCGCAGGGGTTCGCTCGCATTCTCCCCCGCTGGAGTCAGAGCGAGAAGCGGCCGCAAAGGCCGTTGGTTGCTTCTTGCGGAGGGCTTTGGAAGGGCAGCGCAGAGGAGAGTCCGGTCGTGATCGCATTCCCCAATCATCCTGATACTGGTTGGTCATTCGTGGGATTGACAATCAAGCTTCCTCCCCAATTCGAGTGTTCAGCAAGTGGGCATCATGCAGCAAAGCCGCTGGTGAAGCGTGGTGCGGATTGCGGAGAGTCAATGTTTGTCGGCCTTCCGGCCGTCGAAGACATCAAGCTGGCTGTGGCAGCGGGGGGCTTCACTTGGGAAGGCCTCATTGAGGGACAAATCCCGCACTGCTGGAAGACGAGGGAGAGGGCAGTGAGCACTCGGTTGAAGAGCTCTCCAAGCCCTATGTTTTTCAAAACGGTCATTTCTACCCGGCTGGAATCCTTTCTTTTGACACCCCGACTGTTTCCTCTCAGGTCGTTTACATCACTCGCCTTGAGGGGCATCTGCTCGTGGCCGTTCCATTCACTGCATGGCATCGTCTGAGGGCCAATCGTGCTCTCCCACCGAATACACTCTCGAAAGTGACAGCTGCAGTGGAGGCGGCGATGGCGGACCCAGACGACCGCATGAACATCCACCGGACGTGACGATGGGGGAACAGCCTTTTTCGAAGTTGCTGGACCCAAGATGGTCCGAGGTTTAACTGAAGGACACGGACGACTACATCGAGAAGCGCAAGAAGCCAAAGAGGGAAGACGGCGATCTCTCCGAGGAGCAGCCGTCTCCGAAGCGGAAGGCGAAAGCGAAGCCTCGCCGGTTCGGGGACAACGCTGCAACCCCGGAGGCTTAATTCTGGATGGGATGCAAGTGGAGCAGATGCCTGCCTCGCCGACAAGTGCGACAGTTCCGGGCGCTCGAGCTAGCTCCGGCTCCATCAATGTTCATGCAATCATGAAGTCATTGCCACGCTGGTTGCTACAAAGTCATTGCACCTTTAGTGGTTTTTCGCACACTATTCTCCAGAGCCCGAAGGTCCCGCAGAGGAGCTTCACGTCAAGTGCCGGTGCTGTGTGTCTCCTCCCCTGAGGCGTTCCGGGGAGGGCGTCCAGACACATCATCTCTGGCAAGGAAACGCCTGATTTGTCTTCAGGTGGTGCTTCTGGGCTGGTTTGTCTTGGGCTCTCCTAGTGTGGCTCCCAGAATTTTGAAGTTGGGGGCTCGCCTGTCAGCAAAGCAATGGAGCATTGTTCACAATTTGCAGCATTTGGCCTTTGACAGTAATTTTCCCATTAACATTGATGCAGACCTCGTGGGCCGGGGCGCCAGCAAGCTTGAGACGTTTGAAGATTCCCTCAATGCGTTGCGCTATGAAAGCTCTTCTTTGACAGCTGGTGCACCTATTGGCAAAGTAAGCAAAGTGTGTGTGAGTCCAGCCAAGGCCATCGAGCCTGACAGGTTGGAGTTTCCTTCACCCCCTGCTTTTGACCCGTTGCCGTTCTTGGACCCTCAAACTGCTCAAGTCTATGAACGACCTCTAGCTGTGGGCAAGACGTGGGCTGACATCCATGAGCGGCCGCCTGCGGTGCATATTCGTGCCACCAGGCAAAACAAGCTGGACCTGCTCAAGAAGCTCTGTGACTCCGGACGGCTCAAGCCCGTGCACAGGGACAATGTCAGAAGTTCCTTTTTGTCTGGCCTTTTTGCGGCGCCCAAGAATCTCACCCGTGACAGATTGATTTTAGATGCTCGCCCTGCTAACATGGCTGACAAAGCTTTGCAGAAGTGGTGCAAGTCTATGGCTTCAGCAGCTATCCTTTCAGACATAGTCCTGGAGGACGACGAGATTCTGATTGCTTCTGGAGAGGACTTGCGAGATTTCTTTTATCAATTCCACGTGGGAGAAGAGCGCGCCAGGCGAAATGCCTTCGCAGATCCCTTGACGTTGGACGAAGCGGCTTATGTCTTTGGCACGGCTCCTGCCGGCTGGCCTGAGCCCATTTACTGTGGGCTTTGCGCCTTGGCTAAGGGCGACCAAAACGCTTGCGAGTTTGCTCAGTGTGCACACCTGGCTTTGATGCTGCGGGCGGGCGTTGTTGAGCCTCATGAGATGTTGAGCACGCAAGGCGACGTACCCAGAGGGCTCATGTCGGTTGGAGTGATCATTGATGATCTGGTGCTTCTTGAGAAGATGCTTTGCAAAGATTTCCCGGGTGTCGAATCCGGGCTGAGGCGGACCCTTTCAGATGAGAGACTTGACAAAGCTCTGCAAGCATATGCTGGATGCAAGCTGGAGGTCAACCTCAAGAAGGAGTTCAGGAACCAAACAGACGCCAGATTTTGGGGCATTGAGCTTGACGGCAAAAAGGGGTTAGTGCGAGGATCGTCGCTGAGAATGTGGCCTTTGGTGGTTATCACGGCAAGGGTCGCCATGCTAGGACTTTGCACTGTAAGCCTCCTCGAAGCTTTAGCGGGGTCCTGGGTTGCATTGTTGTCAGTGCGGAGAAGATTGATGAGCGTGATGAACAGCATTATTGAAGGTGTTGCAATTACAGATCAAACCACAGTGTTGAGGCTTTCAGACGTCATCATCGATGAACTTTGGTGTTTGGTTTTGTTAGGATCTCTAGCTGTGAGCAACCTTCGTGCGCAACACACCCCCTTCATCACTGCAACTGATGCATCCACCGGGTGGCTTGCGGCTGTCAGAGCTGATGCTCCACAAGCCATCTGCCGAGGTATCAAGAAGGGGCCTGCGCAAAGACCGTTGTGCCAAGCTTCCGCCACCACACCAGGCGTGGCGGCGAGCGAATGGGAGTTTGGCGCCGGAGGATGAGCTTCCTGCTGAGAGTTTTGATGCTAGGCCGCTTTGGGTTTTACTAGCTAGAACACTTTATTTTTAAGAGCGGTGGAGGAAACAGGTGCTCAGGCCTCAGCACATCAACATCTTGGAGTTGAAAGCTCACTTGCTAGAAGAAAGGCGTCTGGCTCAGCAACATCAGCATAAGCGATTTCTCTACGGACTTGGTTCACAAGTTTGCCTGGGCGCATAGGTGAAAGGCAGAACAGCATCACGTAGGCATAACAGGGAATTGGTCAAGTCTCTTCCATACATGTTGGGCAGTGATATTTACAGCTCGCACATGTACTTCCCCAGTAAACTCAATAGAGCTGACGGGCCAACCAGAGACTCTGTACCAGAACCGCCTGATATACCTCTGCCTCCATGGTGGTTCGCAGCTTCACAAGGTGACTTTGAAGAGCTTGACAAATGGATTGAGGAAGTAGAGAAAGCAGTTTTTACAGCTGATGTTACCGCAGCAGAGCTCCTTACGCCAGTGCGACCTGAGATGAAGAGTGGTTCCAAACTTTTTTCTAGACTCAGGGACAAACAGCTCTGCAAAACCATCCCTCTGAACGTTGAGGGAGGTGATCTATAGACAGTCGCGCTGCTATTTTGTTGAGAGAATTCCCAAGCAAACAGTTCTTTTTTGGCGCAGACTTCAAGGACTTCAATGTTCCTGGCGCCCCTGACCTGTTCTCCGGATCGTTTGGAGTTGCTCGTGCCCTCATTCGGAACAGAGCACCTTGGGTCTTGACATTCGAATGGAAGCGCAGCGCAGCGCCTCTGAGGATCTTTTTCAAACTCCTCTTCGTACAAAGCTCAAAGAGCTGCTCAGGCTGGGGGCTTTCAAAGTTTGGGGCGCCGCCCCAATTTGTTTTCGTTGTCGGTAGCCGTGACACCGCCCGTGAGATCGCCGCAGTATCTCAGCTTCTGAGTGCAGCCACGCTGATGAGAGAGTCTCACGCCTTGACACGTTTTCTTGGATGGGTTGGTAGGCTTGTCAGCAGTATGCCCCCGGAAGAACTTCTCCCTATAGATTAGAGCGCCAAAGTTTTTAGCGGCTGCATTGTGCGTTTTTGGAAATTGTGAGTTTGAGAGAGGCGGTGCTTTGAGCAGTTTCCGGCACCTCATTTTGTGCTGCCAGAGATGGGTGCCTTCGGTGCGTGCATCAACTTCACCATGTTGGGACCTAGTCTCCCGCTGAGAACGTGTTGAGCCAGTCACTCACAGGGTTCCAGTGCCTGAAGGATTGGTCAAAGCCATGATCGTTGTGGGGTGGCACCTTGGTTGGTACAGCCGGGTCGGGATAACTCTCGTCGCCTACTATGGTGCTGGAAGAGTAGGAGAGGTGATCAGGTGTTGTCGTGTTGACATGCTGTTCCCGTCTGACATACTTGATGTCGACCATGCTGGAATTTTTTTGAATCTTCGGCAGTTCAAAGCATTGGGTAGGCAACCAGCTCGCGTACAACACATGGAGATTCACGACTGTAGCTTCACGTCTACTCTGCAGTATCTATGAACACTATCCCAAGGATGCCCCTTTGTTCAGTGGATCGCCTTCTTTGTACAGGCGGCGTTGGGCCGCTTTAAAGCTGTGCAGCATTCCAAAAGAGCTCAAATTGACACCAGGTGGACTGCGTGGAGGAGCAGCCGTCATGATGTATAGGAAAAGGGTGCCTATTCAAGACATCCTTTGGCGACTTCGGCTGAGGACTCAAGGAACTCTTGAGTCGTACCTGCAGGAGACGGCTGCAAGCGCAGTTCTGGCTAGTTTAGATGCCGCCGCGAGGCAGAGGCTTTTGAACATTGCATGTCTTTTTCCTTGTTTAGGGCATTCGTTTCCAGGCCCTCACTCTTGAGGACGTTTGACCGTCCGCTCCGCGGACGGCCGTGCTGGACAGTCTTTGCTTGCCTGGCCCGCTCAAACGAAGTTTGGAACGAAGCTCGCGCCCCTCTCCTTTTTAGAGGCACTTGGTCAGCTTCAACCGCACAAGCTTGCATGGGCGGAGAAGAAATGTCCGCTTAGCTTGGAGAGTCAGAAGGTCAGGTCAAACATGACTTTCATGTTTTCCACCTTCGTCGGCCAAGAATGGCCCACCACACCCACCCTGCAGCCTAAGCCTGGCTCTTGCTCTTGAAAGCAGGTGGGAACGAAGCTCGTGCCCTTTTCCTTTTTTAGAGGCACTTGGTCAGCTTCAACCGCACAAGCTTGCGGGGGCGGAGAAGAAATGTCCGCTTAGCTTGGAGAGTCAGAAGGTCCGGTCAAACATATATATATATATACATACATACAATATATAGTACAGATGAGATAGATGTTGAAGATAGCTTTTTGAAGCCAAATTCCGAATTGAACATTACATCCACATTTTTTGAAACTGCAGAGCTGCGAGCAGAAAAAATGCACTGGAATGTATGATTTGCCCTGTGTGAAATCAAATCCATTTTGTTTGAGACGAAGTCACAGGAGCTTGTCTCACGAACTGGGCATCTTGCACTCACCTAGGAAAAGACCCATACCACTCCAGCACTGGTTGCCTATGTCCTCCGGGCGAGGAAAATTGGGTTCCAAAACCGAAGGAGCCTTCCAAGGAGCCTGAGAAGAAAAGCAAAGGCCATGAGCGATGGGGTTGGCGTTGCTCCGGTGCTGTGTGTGAATAACAGGTATAGAGCTCGAACTCCCCCAACGTCAGAGTCTCCTCTCTCCCCTTTGCCTGTCTCGGAAGTTCTAGGATGTTCCACGATTCTAAATATATACTGACAAACAAGTGAAGGTTTTACAGCAAAGACGGGATCAGCCCCAAGACCGTCAAACTGCTTTGGCATTCGGACCATCGACAAACCCACCTGTCCACTTGCCCATGTGGAGAGTATTGAAGAGGGTCATTCTGGGTTTCCAAGGATCCCCTAAATAGAGACCTCTGATGATCCTTAGCCAAGTAAAAGGGGAAATTATCCTCGATCCGATTTGACAGGTGCCGACCCACTGCCGCAGATCACCTGCAGCTGCGGGCGGCAGCGCGAACGGGCGTCGAAGGCGCCAGAGCGGCTGCTGCCCTGCGATTGCGGAGCCGAGGCCTGTGATGCCAGCGAGGCGGAGGGGCCCCAAACAGGGATGCAGCGGACAAAACGGATGGATCAGGGAACCTTATGAGATTTTGGGATGGTGATTTCATGTGGTTTCCGTGATGGAAGACGGGGATGTTTTTTCTGGATTGACAAATGCAAGCTCTTTGGAAAGGAGAAGGGATTTCGTTCTCAAACAATCGGTTTTGAGATACATTTGGGTTCACTTTTAGAGCACGCGACAATGAAATTTACGAAAGCCAGCCAATAGGCTAGGCTGGAAGCATGCTTGCTTATAGACTTTGGTCGCAGTTGTTGGTATTATTACTTTGTCAACTGCTCCTTGCCTTTTACCTTATCACTAGGACCTGCTTACAGTGCTTGTTTCTACTGGCCTTGTTCTTCCTTTCTCAGGTGTCAACAACTTTGTTTGAGACAAATGCAGACGCTTCGGCTTAGCATAGAACAGCTGTCTAAAAATGGATCCGACAAACCTTCGGGCCAGGATTGTGGTATCTACTATATATACCTTTTGGTGGTGCAGGATCTGGTGTTCACGTTCTGCTACAGTTTGCTGCGAACGAAATAGGGTTTGGAGCCTATGTTGATACGGTTTGTAAAACAGAAGACATAAGACTTTGACCAGTAGACCAGCAACGTGTGTTTTGACAACACCTTTGTTTGCTCCTAGGTGGGAGGATGAGACGGCAATGTTGCCACAGGCCATGAGCAACTGGCCAACGGCCTGTTTTAAGGGCCAAGAGTCAATGTGTCTTCCAGTCTGATGTCCCGACGTTCCCCACGACCAACTGTGTTTTGAGGCGTGTTGAGTTGGTAAAGTTGCCGTGATTTGTTCCCTCATCAACTGGAGACGCACACACACACACACAGCATCACTTTGTTTCAGATTTCAACCATCTCCTGTTGCAATAACATATGCACGAACTGTGCAAGCTCGTGCAGAGGAACAAAAGTGCTGGCGGTGACTGCTCATGCACTGTATCCCTCTCATCCTAAAACAGCACTTTTGAATCTGACCTGTGCGCTGCAATGGCCTATGCTTTCACTTCGTTTAAACTGCCAAGGTGCTTCCACAGCTATAGTGGCTGGCTCATGCACCTTGGTGAAGACGAAATGGGCTTGGCGAGCAACGGGAAGGACAGCGCGGATGGTCCTGCTTCTTCGTAGGCTCACTTGTCCCTGCTGATCTAGCAAGAGGCGGTTGCACCACGGCCTTTCTGGGCCTGACTCGATGCTGAGCCCAGGTATTCCTTCTTGGCCCGTGCCATCCAACTGAACGCACGACATCTCAGAGACGGCTTGCAGTCTTTGGAGCAGCAGACGTTTGACTTGAACACCACGAGCCGTTAACACCGAAGTGAACCCGGTGCCACACTCAGGTCATGCTGTTTCTCTTCAACGTCTTCTTCCCCATGTATCCCATGGTCACTTGCTTGCATGATCAGGGCCCTCACATACAGGAACTTTACTTGATTCCGGGGAAGAAAGCTTCTGAACCTGCAGGCTTGGAGTGTTCGCAACATCAACCCTCCATCACTCAAGCCTCCATGAATGCAGTCATTCCACGCAGCCTGTACTGGTAGTTGGACATTGGATGCAACAGGTTGCCAGTGTGCGAGCTCAACATGGGACTAGTCTAGTATTAGTAATTAACTGCTTGTTCACCGTACGCATTGGTATTTGCTGAGATTCTTTCCAAGGGATGTCCAAGTGTCCTGGGAGATAGATTGACATGGACGATGGGTTTTGTTTTGGAGCATGCAAATCAATTGTTGGAATATGATGGAATATGTTGTCATCAGGTGAGTCGCTGCGACTTGTAAAGTAGGCCTTCTTGATGGAACAACATATTAATGGGATTGCTGTTCCTACATCTACACCCGTGGTTGCTACATTGTCATTCCGCACGATTTCGTGCATGGCAAGCATCATGTCTCAGGAGGATCGGCCACTCTTTGGGCCACCTCACATGACCAAACGCACGTCTCAGCTTGGGATCGACTGCAACTGAGGATGGAGCCAAGCTGATCGTTTGCAGCCTCCAGTTGCCGGTGCTCCCAGGGTATGAACGTGTCCAAGCTTTAACACAGCAAACCTGAAGGCGATTCAGATGATTGAGCAGCTACGATTTGGGCAACCTGTCTTTTCAGGAACATCCAAACCGCACATTCAGAGCTTGCTTTGTTCGGCGGCCCTTGGAAGCCTTAGGGCCCTTTGACATTTTCTTGAACTTCCAATGATTCTAGATTCAAGGTCGAAATCACATTCAACTTCCTCGGTCCAGGAGAGCAGAGTAGAGCAGATGAACCTGACACCCTGCGTCCCGCCGCTTAGCCATGAGTCAATGAAGGCCGTTGCAGCCGTGGCTCGTAGCTGTAGGATTGCCATATGAGGACTAGACACCAGAGTGGCGCAAGATGAGGTATCTGCTTGCCTTTCTGCCTTTGCCATATGTTTCAGTTTCCTTTCCATGGGACCTGAAGTTCTCAAGCACATCTCAAGCAAAGGATGGAAGGAAGCAAGTTGTTCACCCCCTTGCTAATTCTAGGGGTAGAACGTATACAAGGCCAAAATACCCATAGACATCCTGAGCTATATTCTGTCCTGCCCACTTGCGGTGCCCAGCCGACATGGGTCGGGATGCCTGGCTTTGTTGGACTCCTCGCCACAGCAGCCATGTGAGTGGTTGCATCAATGCGATCAGTTTGTGTGCAAGTGGTTTCAGTTGCTTGGTCCTAGGGTTGGCCTGTCGATTGCTCTCCCAGACATCATCGATTGTCCCCGTGAACCCCTCAGGCGAAGGAAGAGGAAGCGGGGATGTCAGGACTCGTCTTGCAGCCAGGCTGGGTGCATCTTTGGGTTTCAAGGATGCTGCGTACTATTTTTCAGTATTTTTCTTTTCCGGACCCTCATGAAGCGGCCAAGTTTCACACTTCTATTGAAGGCCATCCCTATTAATCCTATTAGTTTCACACTTCCAAGCAAAATTCCAGTTGACATCGCTGCACTTGGCCTTCCAAGTTTCAAGCACAATGACCACTGCAGGGGCAGGGCGCTTTCGCCCGCCAGGCTGCGGGTTTGCATCCTGGGTGGCACCGCCTTCCTGAACAACGAGTCAGCAGACCTGGTGAAGGATGGACGAGGGCCGCGAGGATGAAGGTTGCACCGGAATAGACCTAATTACATTCGTTGGTTGGTGGCATCCATCCTTTTCCTGCGAATGTCAGCTAGCAAGCCCAAACAACCCACGCATTGCTCAACCTGCTGAGCCTGCTGCACCACAATTGTGTACCCTGCAAACCGTGCAAACCACCCACAAGTCATTTCAGCAGACCTTGACCCTCCTTTTGAGCTTAGAGCCGTCAGGAGCTGGCGTGCAGGCCTCAGACGTAACCCTTGGCTCAGCTGGAGGTGGACATATGCAACAGACTTTCTGTGACCCATTCAATGGGTTCGTGTTCTCTACTCGATTATACGTGCAGGCTCTTCACAAACCAGCATTTGTCTCCAACATGTGAAGTTGACATGGCAGAACACGGTGAAAACACGTGAAAACTGAAAACCCTTATCTATTACTGCACTAGCTACATATGACTTTGATACATGGATGCATGGATGTTGTGACCCAAGGTTGGGAGATTATTTCCAACACTTGTTGTTATATGATATTTATATGCTTTTGTGTGTGGTGCTACTCGCGAACAAGGGGCGAATCTTCGGATGAAGGTTCTGATTGCATTTAATCATTGTTACTGAAACAGTTAACAGCCTCCAATGTTGTCCAGAGCAGTTGGAGCTGAACACCCGCAGACTCTTTCTGCAACACTCTCATCCCAACAAAGCCTTAGGTCAGAACTGCACAAGCGCTTCTCAGGCAGATTTGAGGGTCCACATGACATGGAGAGCGCTATGATAAGTCACTGAGTTGGATGTGTCTTGATGGCTTGGGATAGTGAAGACTGACAATGTCGGGCTTTCGTAGTTGAAGGTGTTCTAGACAGGGAAGTTGGTCGAGTTGGGATTTCACTAGCACCAGAAGGCTTTAAATGACCATCCGAAGAGTGCTCAAGGAGATGGAGTGATCTTCATCACCTGTGGCCAGCAAGGCGTCCAGGCGCCAACAAGAATCAGATTTGAGGTGAGAAGGGAGTTCACAGAAAAAGGATAGGATTCCTCGTGCAAGGCCCAAGCGAACTGCATGCCTTTGGTGCTGAATGACTTGAGCAAAAAGTGAGCATTTCTCTACGGAGAAACATAATATTGGATCCGCAAGTGTGTGACGAACAGGAACGACAAATTCCTTTGATCTCTCTCTCTCTCTATATATATATATTGTAATATTTTTGTCTATGTCATTTGAGTCATATGTGGTATACAAAAAATATATATATATATATTTAATACAACATATATAAGTCTAGTTCTCTGTTAACTGTATTGCTTATGGCGCTTCCCTCTTCCGACTTTTCAGGAAGCTTTCGCCAAAGGATGTGGCGATGGCTCCTTGGTGAGGCTGGCTATGCGAACTCTCCATGACACCAAGCGACACCAGCGGCCCCGGGCAGTGACGATAGAAGTGTTCATACTTGACAGTACTGTTTTCAGTCCCAGGCCCGGAATGCAGAAGAAAACACACTCACAGAATCCATCGAATTCTCAACAAGTTCCGAAAGCCAGGAACCTGCTTGCTCAAGGCGAAATTTGTCACTTCCGCGCGGGTCAGGACAGGTCTTGAAGCGAAGCAAGCCGGGAGTCATATTGCATTGTGCCATTCTTGTTGGGATTCCTATCAGTTTAGTCCACCAGGATGCATCAATCAGTATGACAGCAGACGCTTATATAGGATATTGGCGCCTTCTTTGAGGGACTAACTAGGGATTGCTCATCGACGTTCGGGTTCAATCATCCCGGAACACATGGCGAATCAGCTTCATCCAGCTTTGCATAGGACATTGTGGCGGGGAGGGACGCGGACCAAGTGAAGAAGTTCTTTTTAGATGTGGGTGATGTGTACATCACTGTGGAGGCAGTGAAGCGGGAAAATTGGCATGTGCCACGCCAAGGGATCAAGTCAAAGGGTTGGATGGCTGTATCAGGGCTTTGACTTATTATGTATTCGCTTAGTTTACAATGTGAGCTTTGGACAGGGATGCAGGTGAGAGGATGAGTGGAAACAAAAGGCGGACCTACCACACGTCATGATCCTGATGCTCCCAGGTTGTTGGCCGGATCAGCCTAAAAAGGATTTGGGTCTTTGCGACCAAGTCCTTTCTGCTGAGGTTCCATGAAGGGAATCATCCGGTGATTTGTGGGTTGTTTTCCAGTTTCCGAAAAATAAGGCAACGATGTCGACAACCATCAGTCCATATTGTCCTGCTCCCACTTGTGTCTGGAAGGACGCTTGGCTTCAGCCCTCACACGATTTGTGAGCTCGGATTTGCGCCAGGGTGGTCCTGGTGTAGCGCAAGATGCGCGGCTGGTCATGGCACGGAATGCATCAGTTCTGGCACTGAAGCGGACAGGCATGGAATTGTCATGTCTTCGAATTGCCAGAGAGGAACTGTTGAAGCACTTCTCACGTTTTGCTCGATGAAGGACTCATTCCAATCATTCCAGTTTTCAGTTTTCCACCTGAGTCTTTTTGTTTTTAAACATCTATTTTTGGGATACTTTTCCCAGTTGCCTCACCTAGGCTATTGATGGCACTTGCATTTTGGCACTGCTCAGGTGGAGCCAGTGCAGGGAAGTTTGACTTCCCGCAAGCCGCCCTCACTCCGGACTTTGCCACAGAGGAGAACAGTAAAAGAGCTGAAGAAAACGGAGATTAAGATCTGCCGATATGACGTGGCAACATTTTCACTTGCGTATCTGAATACGCACGTTTGATTGTTGTACATGTCTATGTTTCCACCTTGTGTGACTCAGCTGCACTGTTGAACCATTAAATATTACACCGCACTCTCTCAATGTGGTTGGCAGAGGTGCTGCTATATAGAGTGGACTCCAGTTCGGCAGTGACAGGCATCTACCGACTGAGTTGAGCTGAGGAGCAGTGGGAACTGCTGTGTAGCAGTGCCACCCCTGTCAACAAAGCTGCCGGCATTGCCAGCATCCCAGTTGGCGTCACAAGGTTGATTTCGTTGATGGTCAAGAGAACGTCAGCTGTCAAGAAAGCAGCATCACTTGGAAGAAAAGACACCTGAACGGAGACTTGGGAGAAGACCCTCAACAGTGGGAAGCTGTTTGGAAGCTGTTGTGAGGGGAAGCAAAGTGGTTGGAAGGATCTGGTCAGGTAGTTCATCTCTTCCCTGGTTGTCCATATCAAAGACACAAAGAACTGTTGAAGGATGTTGAGGGGAAGTCAAGTTGAGTGTATTTCTGACATGTTTCAGGCTGCAGACTTGGTGAGCGTCCTTCTCCAGGCAAACATGACGGTTGGGCAGATGTGGGTGTCTCAAGATACGATGTTACTGTTCATCCAACACATACATGGTTGCATCGAGGCGAAGATTGACCGCACTTGTAGATCCGTGAATCCAATGTATATAGGGCTTTTGGCCAATGGAGAGCGCGGGCGATGTTGATGGGATCCTGCCAACAAGTGTGTGTAGTGTTGACCTTGCAGAAGGAGAACTTTGCTTTTTCCTCTTGCATTTCACAGCCGTGTGACTAGCTCCGATTGTACCTCATATACTGTATGTATATATATATATACACATGATGGGTGTCCACAACTTCGGCAACATGCATGCTCACGGACTATGGATTGGTAGTGGTGTGTATGACATTATCAACATTGGTCAACTGTGAGCCAAATACCTATGAACAATCGATTGATGAATACGTAGGTATTCTCTCCAGACAGTGCGCAATTGTTCAATATTTGACTTGTGTTCCCACTGCAGAGCCATTTAAAGAGCATGTTTCCAACTCGATGGGCAATGTTTCGAACCATCCCACGTTCCCACAGAATCCTATGATTTGAATTTGAAGGCGAGGGGCAGAGCTTCGACGCGCCTTGGCAGTTTGAGGTTTCGATGTTTTCTCAGACCATCGATGCCAAGAGCATCCATCCTAATCTTGTTTTGCCCGAGGGCAGCTGTGTCGGAACATGTTTTCTCACTCTGCAGTTCTGGTTTGTGATGCTCTAAGGCTGCCTTTAACATTGGAGATGTCCAACTCTGAACCTTGAAGAAAGGGACTTGGGATGTGGAGCCGCACGCGGAGCCACACTTTTCTGGGTCATACTCGGGACACCAGTCAGACTCACCGACAGTAGCTAAGTGTGAGTCAGTCGAGCTTGGTTTGTGATGGAACAGCACATAACATTTCTTTTGTACTAGTGATATTACTATATAGTGGCTAAAGCAAACACCGCAACAACAGTGGAATCTGATGTCATCTGGGTGTGGATCAACACGTAGCGCCCCACGTTGGCCTCAGGACAGTCTTGTGAGTTGGCCAAGCACCTCCACCATGACCTCCGTGATCTATGCGAATAACCGGAGGCTCCTTTGTCGAGGGTGATGGAACCGGGCTAATAGGAAGAAAACGGGGAATGCATTGTGGACTGAGGAGCTGTTAGCCACTTTGAGGCAAGCTTTATTTAGGATCTACAGTTAGGTACTTGTGGAGTGTTTCAGTTGAAGACCGGGCCTTTCAGCTGTCACCACCAATCAAGCAAAAGCGATTTCCAAGATGACCTTTATGTCTTAGGCTTAGTGCCGGAACCAACAGTTTCTGCAGCCTTTACCATGCTTGCAATACCACGTGTGCGTTCCAAGCCTTCACTGAATCGGACTCAAGGCCCTTGAGGGCCCTGATGCTTTGCGAGTTTTGGTTCCTTGATTTTCGGTCTGACCAGTTCTGCAAGGAAATGGACGATTGCCGTCTTCATCGTTGCAATCTTAGTCATCGCCGGAGCTCCAAGTCGCCGATTGGCCAGTTTGACCAGATCAACCTGATTTGTTTCCATAGGTCCACCATCGGAGCAATTTCTGATGCAAGGGAGTTGGTTGGGAGGAGTTTGCAAAGAACTACCGACATCACCAAAGCACTCACTGTTTTGTTTCGTTGCAGATGTTGTACCTTTCTGTTATTTGATATCACCGGAATTCACCGGATAGATTTTCAGGAATCTCAAGGCTTTTGCTCTGTGTGCACAGGTGATTCTGGTGATCGCGGGCATTCTTTACTTCCAAGAATCCTCAAAGAAGGATTCAACCGAGACACAAGCGACGCAAGTGGAGTTGGTCTTCCCTGAGAAGACTCGATTCCTCAGTTGGAACTCCTAGAGTCTATCTAGAGATCACCATGATGATGTATCCCGTTTCCATACGACCTTTGGTGCCAAACTCTGTTGCCGAGAGCTCATGTGTGACGTTTGGGACATGAAGCTAACAGATCCCCTGAAGGCTCACAACCACCGATGCATAAGCCATAAGCACACTGCTTTCTGGTTCCAGCATCATTATCGTGCTCTACTTTGCGATAGTGGCCAAGGAGCTCTCACTGAGATGGGATCCTGCGAAAGGAAAGGCTCAAGAAAATGGGGTTTGGGATGAAGCGCCTCAACAAAGGCCGAAGCGCTGTTTCGTGTCAGCAAACGTGGTTAAATGAGAATAGACTACGTTGGTTTGCCGAAGCTTGCCAAATCTTGGGGTTGTGTGTACGATGTTTGACAATTTCTATGGCCATGAAATGGATTGATCATCTCATGTTTTGGCTGCGACAGTTCGTTCCTTCAGTCCACTTTAGCTTCCTTTGGATGCCATGGTGCCATCGTTGTTGCTGGCCAGCTGCATTAGTTTCACACTGGTCGCGGCTGAAATCAAGTTGCCAGATGGTCCAATCATTGCAGCCTGGCAGAACTGGGGAGCATGCAACGACACCCAGACGATCCAAGCGGTTGAAAGAGGCGTGAATGTTGTGTTTTGGTTCAGCTCCAACTTGGTGAAAGACGGAGATAAGCCGAAGATCTCAGGCCCTTTGCCTGATCTGGAGTGCGTTGCGCGAGTTCGCAAAGCCATCAAAGAGAAAGGCCTTCCCACAGCTCATTTGCTGAGCATTGGTGGTTGGGACGCACCGCATCCTGACACATCTTTCACTGGAACTGAATGGTTTCACGCTTGGAACGAATGGAATCAAGGCTTGCCCATGCCTTTCGATGGGTTTGACTGGGATCTCGAGGGCAACGACTACTTGACATCTCCCTACAATGTTTTCAGCCCAGCCTGCTTGCAGCTGGTCGTGGACATGTCAGCCGCAGCAAAAGCAGCTGGATATTTGGTGACTATGGCTCCTCCTCAAACATACTTTGATTCCACAACACCTCACTTCAACCGGTATTTGAACAATTCGAATCCTCCTGACTCTCAGCAAAACTTCCAGACTGCTTTGCTTTGTGCCTGTTCTCTTCGCTTACGTGCAATCTTCTATTGCCTTGCCCGCCGAGTTGTAAGAACTTGCACACTTGAGCCACCGAGGACTATCGGCCCGAGTTTCGGTACCGTGGTCGAAACAGCTATGCCTACATGTGGGCAGCTGCACCTCCTGGAACCTTTGACCTGGCCACTTGTCCCAAAAGAATAGGAACCCTTGTCCAGGTGTGATTGGGGTAGCCACTTGGTTATAGCCTTTGAAACCGTGATCATAACAAGCTTCCAGCAGATCCCAACCATGCAGACAGGTCTTTGGCTCAGTGATTGGGTCTAGGATGGTCTAGGCCTTTCTTTGGGTTGCTGTAACTGGCGACCCATCTTGATCCAGGTCTCGGTGCAGCTCTATGAAAGTTATGCGCCGGCCATGCAGGCTCTGCAGGAGGGCATCTCCGGTGAGGAGTATTTGCAAAGCTGGGCGGCGCAGTTTATTCTTGGATGGACCATCAACTTCAACGACACGTCTCTGAAACTCCAAGGTCATGTGGATGTCGCAGTGCCAGCTTCTCACTTCCTCATAGGACAGCTGCTTCCGCACTCTAAGATTTTTGAACCGGGAGTGCCTCAAGCGATCTCAAAGGCTTGAGGAGACTTTCCACAGGATCAAGCAGCAATCTCCTACCTGGAAATCGGAAGACTCTTGAGAGACACAGAAGATACTGTACATTTGGTATAAAAGAACAATCTTCTTTTGAGTCAATCAATAGCAATGGCCTCCAACCTAAGAGCTCTGGAACTCAGTTCTCTGACATTTGGTGTCCTAATCTTCCATATGATTCCGCACCTTGAGGACTGAGCTTTGGATCTCCGCCGAGGTCAGCGTTCTTTTGGCCAGAGACCGCAGAATGGCTTGTTCAATGTGGGGGAGTGGGGGAGGGAGTGGGGGAACGAAACAGTAACAGACTCAGGAATAAATGACATTGAATAGTTTGGAGGTCGTATGAATAGATTTCCCAAGTCCTTTGCTCCCAGCAGCCTTTTCAAATGTACGACGCAGGTCAATCGTGATGGGGTAGGTTAGAGGCAGGACCCCCCAAATCATCATGCACTATCATTTTGTTTGGAACTGTTTGTGATAGCTGAGAGGTTGCTCATTAATTTTTGATTCGCATGCAGCATTCTGGAATTCTCCATTTTGTGACCGATGTATTGAAGACTCTGAAGACTCACTGTCACGAGATGGCCGTGAAGTGATTGAACTCCCATTTTGGCCTGGACGTGCCGCAGTTGTCTGCAACCATTGCATGCATCCCAGGCAGGTGCTGCCTACAGCAATGCACCTGCACACTTGCGGCCTCGGGGCTATGCCTTTTGGATGATTGGGATAGAGGACTCCGGGATCAAAACTGTCCTTTGAGAAGTTTAGGGGCACTTCATTTCACACTGGCTGAAACAAAACGTGATGGAACTGGTCTGGTAGTAGACCTCTGTGTAGGTGCCTGTTACTTGACCTGAAAATGCAGTGGGTTAACCATGTTCAACCAGTGGAAGATAGTGTTTGTCCACATATGCACACACACAATCTTGCATTGGACTGCGCATGTCTTTTTCAATGCATTCCATGATTCCATGAAGCCCACATCTCCGCTGAAGGACAGCTTGGCGAATAAATCCAATCGGAGTTTGAGCTTCGCATTTGGACTCAACAGTTTCCTTCATGTGAGAAAGCAAGGACGAGCTCAGTTGGAGAAGAGGTCATTGAGGCAGCAGTCAAATTTCTTTTGGTTTGAGTGATCTGCCCATTCAGAAGGCATAGAGGTTAGCTTAGCTTGTATCAGAAGCAGTTGCACCTTTATGCATGAGTTGGACTTACCAGCTTTTCACTGTACGACTCGATTTTTTTGTTTTCCTTGCATGCCTAAAGTGCATCTCCATTCTTTGGCATTTTGGTGAACCATAGGCCAGATATGGCCAGATGTCCTGCAGTAGCGCGCACTTGCTGTGCATGAAGTTGATATGTAAGGGGTACACCGTGGCATATTTATATGCAGGTCACTGCCCAGACTGGTCTTTGGTGTCACATTAGTTAAGTTTCCCTAAAAATCTACTCGTAGGAACCAAATCATTAGTGCGAACGCTTCTTCAAGAAAGCTTCCTCCGCCAGGTGACTTTGGTGTTCCCTTCCTGGGTATCCTCTAGTTCCACGGATCTTCAAAGCTGGATCCGGATGACACGAGCTTCGAAGCAGTCTTCTTTGACATTCGATTCCATAGTTGGAACTCACCATTGGAGCGATGCATAAGATCATTACAGCTTGGTGGGTTCCAGCTTAATCATTGCCCCCACAGTACTAGGTACTTCATGTTTTAGATGGATGAGCCAGCTCATGTTTTAAATGAGGAGGGCAAAAAATCACGTGGAGCGTGCGAACAGGGTTATCACCAGGAAGGGTCTAGGTTACCTTCAGACTTTTGAAGCAATAAAACTGATGGGATGTTGTCCTGGCAGCCTTTTGTTGGAAGGAGTCCAAGTGTTTCAACCACTTTTTTGCTCAGAGTCAAGCAAGTGGGCGGTATAAAATGGCGGATATATCTAATTGTCCACAATTGATTCTGTAGGCTGCATGTGTTACTAAAAACACATTTAATATACGTATTGAATTCGTATCAACACTTTTGGTCCTTGGGATTTCCAGCAATGAACATGCGGCTTCCTTTGGATGCCATGGTGCCATCGTTGTTGCTGGCCAGCTGCATCAGTTTCACACTGGTCGCGGCTGAAATCAAGTTGCCAGATGGTCCAATCATTGCAGCCTGGCAGAACTGGGGAGCATGCAACGACACCCAGACGATCCAAGCGGTTGAAAGAGGCGTGAATGTTGTGTTTTGGTTCAGCTCCAACTTGGTGAAAGACGGAGATAAGCCGAAGATCTCAGGCCCTTTGCCTGATCTGGAGTGCGTTGCGCGAGTTCGCAAAGCCATCAAAGAGAAAGGCCTTCCCACAGCTCATTTGCTGACAATTGGTGGTTGGGACGCACCGCATCCTGACACATCTTTCACTGGAACTGAATGGTTTCACGCTTGGAACGAATGGAATCAAGGCTTGCCCATGCCTTTCGATGGGTTTGACTGGGATCTCGAGGGCAACGACGACTTGACATCTCCCTACAATGTTTTCAGCCCAGCCTGCTTGCAGCTGGTCGTCGACATGTCAGCCGCAGCAAAAGCAGCTGGATATCTGGTGACTATGGCTCCTCCTCAAACATACTTTGATTCCACAATGCCTTACTTCAACCGGTATTTGAACAATTCGAACCCTCCTGAGTCTGAGCCAAATTTCATTGTTGCTTTTGACTCTTCACCTTCACAAGCAATCCCCTTGACCAACAAACATCGACAAATCATGACAAATCATATGTTCATCATCATCATCCGAATCCGAACTTGGATGTATATATATATATATGTATATTATATACCTGAAGCCACGAAGGACTATCATCCCGAGTTTCGGTACCGTGGTCGAAACAGCTATGCCTACATGTGGGCAGCTGCACCTCCTGGAACCTTTGACTTGGCTACCTGTCCAGATTGGAGCAAGTTGTGCGGGGGGTGCCTACCGGGTGGGACTCATTCATTGGGATCAAGAGTGGATGGTTGGTGTGGCCATTCTTTCTACGTGTTGCTTTCAAGCGTGAAAAAAGCACTATTATATATGTCATAGTTGTTAGGAAGAGAAACGACCGTCAACGAAACGTGTCGAAAACGAAGTCGGGCTCGAACAAAGGGTTGGGGGCCAGGTTTCGGTGCGGGCCATGGTCGACCTTCGGCCAGTGGAGCCCGCGGTTAGGGTTCTTCTCCACGAAGGATGGGAGATGAAGACCCTGGCGTTCTTCCACGGCATGGATGATGAGGCCATCCGAGATATGCTCCCGACTACGGCGAGGGCATGGACGCATGAGGAGATGGATGGTCTCAGAAGAGAGGCGAAGCGCCAGCAGAGAGCCCTCGACATAGAGGATACAGCCTTCTACAACCACCAGAAGCTCTTGTACCGGGATTCTTCGTTCCTGGAGAAGAAGATCGGCAACCTCCCGGAGAAGGTGTCGGAGTCTGGAACTTCGATGGTGTTGGCAAGCAAATCCTTGCCCCGCGTGACCTGGAAAACACGGTTGCAGAAGGCCATGGCTACGGCTCCGGACGACCAGCATAGGGCAAAGGCGGAAGAGAAGGAGAGGCAGAGGTGGATTCGAGAGTTGATGACTCTCTTGGAGGATGCGGGCTTCCTGGGCAACGTGGTGAGGGAGGAAGATGCCATGAAGCATTTGGCTGCACGTGTGGCCGCCGGGAGAAGGGCATCGACCCTACGACAACATGTCAGGTATGGACGGCGGCTTCAATCCTACATGGAGACGGTGTTTGGCCTGGCCTGGCTGCGTGGGCACGGTGACTTCATAGGGTACGTGGCACTGCTGCTAGAAGAACCTTGCGGGCGAACTGTGCCGAGTTCTTTGTTCAAGTCTTTGGCATTTTTGGAAATGGCAGCTGAAGTGTCACCTGAAAAGAGGGTCAGCAATTCGCAGGCCCTTCATAACTATCTCCTCGAGATCGAGAAGGGCAAAATTGGGCGCCACGTCAGCGGGCGAAGGCGGCCAGGGTGCCGCTGGAGGTTGCGCGGGCTTGGGAGATTGGGGTCATGGACATCACCCTTCAGCCCTTCAAGCGCGTCTTCTGCTGGTTTAAGCTCCTCAAACTTTGGGGAGCACTCCGCTCGCATGACAGCCAGGGAGTGCCTCCAGCTACCTTGGCGTTCGACCCCATGACCGGCTTGCAAGGCGAGATCATGAGGGCGAAAACTACGGGGGTCGGCCGCCGCGTCGAAGTGGTGCAGTTCTTCGTCTCCACGGGAGCATGGCTGGTGCATGAGGATTGGCTCCAGGCGGGTCTACAACTCTTCATGTCCATGAATAAGGACATCTCCGTGGAGAAGAGGGACTTCTTGATGTGCAAGCCCAATGAGTCGCTCAGGGGCTTCAGAAAGGGGATGCTCTCCTACCCGGAGGCGATGTGCTATTCGCGTGCTCTGCACTTGGAGCTCTACTCCATCCGCCAGGACGAGCAGGGTGAGCTGTGTCGGTTGATGCTGCCGGAGGCCACGTCGTACTGGAGCGAACGCAGTGAAAGAGTGACCATCATGAGCTGGGCCTTGATTGCAGAGATCCCCCGCGAGACGAGGCGTCGATGGGGGAGGTGGTCACCAGGTGTGGATGAGGAGTATGCGGTGACGACCAAGCGGGTGGTGACGCAGGCCCAGACGTTCCTGGCCAACAAGATCAAGGCTCAGGGCTGCAGATGGTGCGTGGCATGTCAACCACGGAGGCGCACCATGAGGCGCTGAAGATTGCGCCCCCATTGGGGAGGGTTGAACCTGGCGGCGTTGCACGTGGTGAAGAAGCCGCTTGGAAAGAAGGAGGAGGCCTCGGAGGTTCTAGAGGTTGCGGACTCCCCGACGGAGGTCTTCAGTGATGACGAGCTCATGGACGATCCGGCACCAGAGGAGCGATACAACCTGGGGACCTACATCATGTCGGTGGTACGCTCCATGTGATGGGCGGATGCTACCGGGTGCCTGCAGGCGTCCACTACAGGGAGTTCGTGGTGATCGGCGTGGACAGGCCGGAGATCTCGGCAGACAAGGGGGAGAGGTTATGCAGCACCTGCTTTACCCCGAAGGAGCGGATCGCTGAAGCTATTCAGCAGGGGCCGGATGCGGAGCAGTCTACGGACTCAGAGTCCTCCTCAATCGAGGACGTACCTGAGGACGAACCTTGAAGAGGCTCGAGGACTGAGAAAGGCTGCTGGGGAGCTGGGTGGGCCTAGAGAGGGCCTCCCCCCCGGAGGGGCGCGCGCCGCTTGGGCCATGGCTGGTTTGAAAAGATCGCGGGATTGAGCCCTGACTTCCAGGGTCTGCTGGATGCAAGGGGGGTTGACACGGAGATGCAAGCAGCCTTGTTCGATGCCGGAGTGCAATCGATAGCGATGCTCTCTGCAATCGCGGTGGATGGGGACTCGCTACTGGAGGTAGCTAAGAGTGAGCTGGCTTTGGACATGGTAGCCAGGCCGAAGGTAGGTTCGCGGCTTTGTTTCTGACCTGGCAGTCGGCGCTGGAGAGGAGGACTGCTTTGGATGGACTGGATGCGGAGGCCAGGGGTCTAGATGCAGCTCTTTCGTAGTGAGTACGAGAAGCGCTTCTTCAAGCTCAAGGAGGCGGAGTGTCCTGGGAAGCCCAGCTTTGAAGACATCTGTGAACAGCTGGATGGTGGGGAGTTCAGGCCCATGGCATTGTGCCACTTTAAATCCAGGTCGGAGGAGGACGAGGCGGAGACGAGCTTGCATCTTGGCAAGGCAGGTCAGGTGAAAATAAAGAAGTCCCGGGTCGAAACTTCGAATCCGTCGAACATGGAGGAGTTCAGATCCAAGATCAATCTGATGATCAACCACCTGATATTTGCTAGGTTCCGGTACCCCCACAAGTCCTCCTTGGCGGACATCACGCCATTCACGGCCATCGAGTATTTGAATTACATCTGCAGCAAGAACATCTCGCAGCTGGAGTCGCTGACGGTGGACGACGTGTCGCTCCATCGACCCTCGTTGAACATCACGAGCTATGAGTATCAGATGCGAAAGGAGGTGGTGGACATGGTGAACCGAGGGGGCACGTGGGTGGAGGCATTGAGAGCGGTGGTCAAGAATGCCGACGTGCGCGAGCGCTACTTCAGCACGCCCCTGGCAGTCACTTCGGCTGTGCAATCGTTGAAGGAGACCTCATGGACAAGCCCGAAGAAGTGGCAAGATCGGCGACATCCCTATGGAGAGCAGCCAAAGGGGAAGGGCAAGAGCAAGCAAAAGGGCAAGGAGGGCAAGCAGAAGTCCAAGGGGAGATCTTCACTTCAAGGCAGCGCTCCAGATGGCCGGCAACTCTGCTTTGCATGGAATAACAAGGACGAGGGGTGCACGGGAGGCTGCGGGCGGGTTCATGCCTGCCGGATTTGCCTCTCACCAGATCATGCCACGTTTGATCACGAGTCCAAGGACTCGTGACTAGGGGCTCAGCCAGAGCCAACTGCTCCGCCGGCACCCACAAAGCCGGCGCCTGTGCAAGAGATACTTTACTTGTTTTCTGGCCCGTCCCGGCCAACGGGGATTCCGGAGCAGCTCGTCACCCTGGCGAGAGACTCGGGGCGTCCCGTGAAGGTGACGGTGGACTGTTTTGACATCAAGAGGGACGCGAAGCATGATCTACTTGATGAAGCTCTTCGTAAAGACCTTTTAGACCGGATTGCTGCAGGTTACTACCAGGCAGTCATTATGAGCCCGCCTTGCGGCACTTGGAGTCGGGCACCATGGGCCAACAATCACGGCCCGAGACCTCTGCGTTCTTCCGAACACCCGTTTCGTTTCCCTTGGTTGGAATCTTGGAGGAAAACAAAAGTAGAGCAGAGCAATAGCATGGTGGAACTTTGTCT